TCGGCATCCGCCTCAGCGGAAATCCAGAGTTCCGCCAGCTTGAATTAGTCAGAGGTATCACGTGAAACAAATGTGGGCCTTTCGACCTTGGTACCCCAACACTGTGGAAGTACGAAGCAGTGACGGAGCGAGTCGACTTTGTGTTCAAACGCGGATGGCTTGCGACGCGCTGATTGTTCACAATCATGTGATACTCGTCTCGACTCCTCCCTCCGAGTTCACTCCAAGGGGGGAGAATGTCCAGCATTTATTCCTAATCCGCTCGGCAACGTGGTTAGGCAGCCTTCCAGAGCATGACTCCACCACTTTGCGTTCACGGTTCCCGTGCATCCCGCTATGAGGCATCACGGTGTGTCTGACTCATTTGGCATTTTCACCCCCGGGCCAAGGCTGATGTCCCCCATGAACCGGGGTGGCAAGGCTGCGCGGCCCTCCTCGATCTCTTTCGTCCTTCTTATCGGCCTTGCTTCTCCATACATCCATCCGCCGTGCTCTCCTTTGACGAATCCACTCCTGCCTGGACCTGAACCGCTTTCGTGATTCAGCAGCATGAAGTGGCGACGAGCGGGTAGGCACGAGCCATGACTGACAGAATTATCGCAGGTTACTAGGCAGTCTAACAAATCCCAACTGTTGGGCTGAGGCGAAAGGCGTCGTGGGATAGGACTGTTGTTCGTGTCGGCACACCGGGCGGGTCATCACCATGACGGCGAACCAGTTCGGGCAAAGGAGACTTCTGACTATTGGCATCCCTTTGTATCGTGAGGCTTCTCCTATCGGGCGACAAGAAATTCTGACTGGGCCACGTTATATGCCACAGCCGATCGATGCATTTCGTCCATGTGATCGGGTCGCCGTCTGATGGTGGTGTGACCTATTGCGAAAGTGGTTTGGACCATGGCTGAAGGCACCACTCCCTGTCAACCATCGTCTGTGCTTGACCACTGCCTAGTAGGCTCGCCGACGACCTGGAATAGATGGGGTCTACAAGTTCGAATCACGACGAACTCTTCGGCGATGCGTTTGGAAAAGGCATTGGGCTGTGTCCGACCGACACCGAAACTCGGACGAGTCACTCACACGGTGATACCAAGCACCACTGGTGTCGTCCTGATCAAGACGCGGTGCTACAGGTGCTCACTGGTTAACCTGCAGATCCATGATGCAATAGCATCCTCGGGGAGCCCTGAAATCCAGTTTCTTGGTCTGCGACGGGGATCTCGTACCCGCATGCCCGAGGCGTCTCGGGCGTCCAAGGCAGCAAGGTCGTGAGATGCCAATAAGAAATGTCCGGCGACGGAAGGTATGTTCCTGCCTGATGCGGCCTGACAGTTCTCCGCATTGTTTGCGTGTTTCACGTTCAAGTGGATGCATTTGCACATGGACGTCGGTCCATCCTGGACCTATACGCGCCCTTTTATTGGCGATGCCGTAGCCACTATATCGAATATGATGTTGAACCAAAGGCACTCTAAACCGCTTCATTCCCGTTATTCGTTGTATCCTTTGGACCGATGTGGGATTGTAATGCAATTTTTCCGTTGACTTGACAAGGAGGAGCTGCCTTGGGGCTTTAGGTGTCTTCGCCGTGTATCCAGGAATAACGCATGCAGATGTACAGTGAGTCAGTGACTATCACACGCGTTCAGAAGTCGTTTTTTTCTGTTGGTAAGTATCTTATTAACCCCCTAACATGACTTGTTCGCTGCATCGGGTACAAGAACCGGATGGCATGGCATCAAAACATGATAACGGGCAAACGGATACCCAATCTGGCCATGCCGTCGTCTCGCCTGTCGGATCGAAAGCATACTTACAATGCTGCTGGCTATGAGTTGAGCAAACATCTCATCGCGAAATGTACGTAGATGGAACGAAGTCGCATTAGTCGCCAGTCAAAATATCAGCCATCGCAGTGGCAATAGGCGCATTTTCTCGCCTAGCGCAGCCATCCAATATGTTTCGTTCGTGGTTGCGATCGACCAGAGGGATACACATGGTTCCAAGTGTATTTCGACTTGACAGAGTTTCGGGTCTTTGCCTAGGCTAGCAGCTTGGTCTCGGCCCAATATAAGAGCCAGCCGTCCAGGCACCAACGTTGCTCCAGAGCCAGTGCGTGTGGCTGAGGATTTGTAGCACATGCTGCCTTGCCCTACTGCGTCGTTGTGTCGAGAAAAGAGGACGGGGACGCCTTGACGGGTTATCCGCGACGCCTCACTTTTCTTTTGGAGGCCGTGGCACCCGTGGTTCAAGCGTTTATTCTTTTCGCCCTATCCGCCCTCCCGCCCTGCGCATCGCATAGAATGCAAGCCCTCTTTAGTACTACCATGACAGAGGTGAGGCATCTTACCTTCGACTTGGAGGATGCCAGCCTTCAAGACAAGGAGACATGCACCTCGGGATGAGATGCATGTCATGACATCAAAATTGGCCACTGGAGCGGCAGAATTTTGGAGTCGCCGAGATGGGCATTGCTGCAGATTGGGCCTTGGCACCACCAAATCCATGGCTCACATCTATCGTACTGTGTACCGCGGTATAGGTGCTTGAATAGGCCAACTCGTCTCTCAAGGACACCATGATGGATGCCGTATTCTATTCAATTATGCCAGCTGGCTGAGGCCGGCTTCTTAGGAGTGCACGGGGCGGGGGCCTGGGGGTTGGTTGGCCGGTAATTCTTCACGATGAAAAAAACCGTTTCTGTAAAACTAACATTATGTGCATAGAGAGCAATTCCTCCATCATGTGATGCGAATGTAATATCCAAAAAGTTGGTGAGAATAGTGCAAACGACGGCGACTAGGTGTGTAAGCATGGATAGTTTACCGCGGCTGGTGCGAAAAGCCCGATGTCATCTCACATGCATCTGCACCTCCGACATGGTTTGTTTCATGATATTCTTTTCCGCCCCTTCACCCCTTGCACACGTCCAAAACATTTCGAGATACAACATGCACACTCACCGCGAACATTGATCTTGGTCATGGATCCCACAACACTTCCGCCTTGGCGTCTACCCGATGGCGTTGCCTCTCGGTTCGTCGACACATCACCAGCCGGACTTAAATTCCACATTCTTGAATCACTTCCCGCTCCCAATTTCGAGGCCGCCGACCGACGACTTCCGCCATTGATCTTACTACTCCATGGCTTTCCAAACCTCTCGTATGACTGGCGATTCGTGTTGCCGAAGCTAGCCGACGCCGGTTACTATGCCGTCGCCTTTGACTTGAGAGGTTTTGGCCGCACCCACGATGCGGATTCAGGCCGTATCAGCCACGAGGCAATTCGGCCGTTGGCTGCAATCCGCGATGTAGTCACTCTAGTCCATGCCCTGGGCTACACAAAGATTCACACTCTTGTAGGCCACGATCTCGGCGCATACATGGCCTCCATCACTGCCTTGATGCGACAGGACATGGTCGGGTCGCTGCTTTTGATGGCGCACACATGGAAAGGCATCGCAGCCACTCCCTTTGGCAATTCGCCCGCAGAAGCACTAGCTGCAGCAGTTGAATCACCAAAAGTGCCTCGTTGGGAGCAGAACAAGGACGCGGACGTGCATACATCGCTGGCCAGGCTTGACCCCCCACGCAAACATTACAAGTGGTATAATGCCTCGGCTGCGGCATCAGATGAATGGACATATCCCACCGGGCAGCCTCTGCGAGACTTCCTCAGGGGTTACTTTCACTTGAAATCTGGTGCTCACGTACAGAAGATTCCTCCTCGGCCGCTGGCGTCCTGGACGGCGACGGAGCTGGCCGTTCTCCCGCACTACTACGTCATGCGTGCGCACCAGACGATGCGAGAAAATATTGCCCTGGACATGTCGGAGGAACCTCAAGAGACGGCAGCCAAGCTACATCTCACGCCGTGGCTGACTGATGCAGATGTTGACGTTTACGAGCAAGAGTACGCCCGTACCACGTTCAGGGGCCCGCTGCTTTGGTATCGCGTGCTGACCGACCCTGAGCTCTCCGGGGATCTATCCTGTCTTGCTGGACTGAAGCTCAAGATGCCCACCAAGTACGTTTCTGGCCTCGGCGACTGGGGCACGTATCAGGTTCCCGGGGGACTCGAGTCAATGCAGCAGGGCGTCAGCGTTGAACCGGAGTGCTGGCGCGGCGCGACACTTGTGCCCGGGGCTGGACACTGGGTCAATATGGAAAAGCCGGACGAAAGTGCCGCTGAGATTCTGAAGCTAGCTAGTACTGTTTCGTGAGTCGCCGATCTGGGCTGTTTAGGTTGCCTTGATGAAGGCTTCGTCACTGGTCAGCCAGGTCAATGGTGTCGGCGGTCGATAGTGGGCGCCGGGCGGTTCAGCGCAAATGAAGTCAATCGTGAGGGCGAATCCTATAGACTCATTACTGCATAATTGAATGAGGAATAACTGTGAAGCGGAATTTTCAATGTCTGGTGTATTTTGCGGTTGGTACTACATCACTCGGCTATTGATTCTACTCAAGTACCAAAGTACCTTGGTAAGCCGGCTCGGCTTAAGCAGGCAGGAGGACCCCACATCCCAGGTCCATTTTTTTAACAGGCCAGGGCTCTAGTCAATAATAAGTAACTAAGATTTTAAAGATATATAAGTATTTAAAAATATGCTAATTTATTATACTTAATAATAAAGTACTTTTAAGTATCTTTAAGTCTTTTTAAGTATTATGAAAGAAGTGGGTTGAATACATCAATTGGACTGGACCTGCGCATATTCAAAGGGATGTGCACCTTGCCATTTGGAAACTACCCGCGGGCAACTAAGTGGAAGTGGAAAAGGGTCCACTCAGCTGCCAACGGGTAGATGCTGTTCGGCTCACGTTTTCTTCTCGAGGCTTGCACCGAGACTTTTGTGCCCATTTCACCCATCATCATTTTTTTCTTCTTCTCGTTTGCTGCAACTTGCCCGCTCGTGCCGATATTGACCTGGCGGTACACTCCATCTATAATCACTTGCACCAACTAAACACGCATCAATTAGCCTTGCATCGGCCGCAATGGCCCCATGGCAGACGGCCACAGGCTCGGTCGCAGAGCCATCTGCCCTCCGAGTCAAGGCAGCTGATGCGGGCAGTGTAGCCGTCGGCGACTTCTCCCAGGCAGGAAGCCGTCAGGATCAAGGCGAGTTGCAGCAATACGATTATGATGTTGAGACGGTGGAGCGAGTGTACAGGTCAGTCAGCCGACTCAGTCTCCCTCCATCCCGAAATCGGCCATGCATACTGACCTCTGCCTATTGCAACGACCAGGAAACTCGACTGGAGGATTATTCCACGTAGGTCATCGCACCTGTCTCGTCGAACCATGGCTGACCATGATGTAGCATTCTGGTGTCTCTACTTTTTGTGCTCGGCGATCCGTTCTAACATTGGCATCGCGCAGACCATGAACGTCAGTAACAACCACGACCTCATGTCAGTCTTGCACATGACACCCAAAGACACGTCAACCGCCCTGGCTCTGTTCTATGTCTCCTATGTCATCTTCGACCTCCCGTCCAATCTCGTCATGAGCAGACTCAATCCACGCGTGTGGATGGCCCGAATCGTCTTTGCCACTAGTCTTGTTGGGACCTGCTTCGCGGCAGTTCAAAGTGTATGGAGCTTGAAGCTCCTGCGTTTCTTGCTCGGCATGGTCATTGCCGGTATGTGGCCCGGCATGGCCTATTACCTGACCCTATTCTATCCTCCCTCTAGGACAGGCAAGAGAATTGGCATGTACTTTACTGCCTCACAGGTATCTGCCGCCGTTGTTGGTCTTGTATCGGCAGGTTTTCAGCTTATGGATGGTCTTGGCGGGCTGGCTGGCTTTCGCTGGATGTTCCTAGTTTACGGACTGGTTGGTATTGTCTTGAGCTTCGCGCTGCTCTGGTGGCTGCCCGATCGTCCCTTGGCTCCCGGACAGGTGCGACACCGGTCAAAATGGCTTAGCTGGTTGCCACATTCGCCCGAGGCTCTCACCGGAGATGATGCAATTGTTCATTATCAAGATTTGCGTCGAGTCTATCACCCCAGGCCGTGGACAATCAGGGATCTTGTCGAGGTACTCCTCGACTGGCGACTGTGGCCTCTGACGCTAATGTACTTTGGAGTCGTCGGTGTCGGTATTGGAACCCAATTATACGGCTCCGTCATTATCGCGGCAATTCAGCCCACGGCAAGTGCAATTACAGTAAGCTTACTGTTTGCACCCATTTGGATCGTAAGTTGGTCTATTTACCCGCCGCCCCGGGAACAATCTGCTAACTGTCCCAGATTGATCTCATTGCAATCATCATCGTCACGCCCCTCTCAGACCGCTTCCACCGCCTCCGAGCCTTCTTCTTCTCCGCCGCAGCCTGCATCCAAATTGCCGGGCTCCTCGTCACCACATTCGCCATTGACGGATGGGCCCGATACAGCGGTCTGCTCATGGTCGGCTTCGGCCTTGGCCCTACGGTGCCGATTTGCATGGCATGGACCTCCGAAACCTTCCAGCGTCGACACGGCGAGGTCGGAGTAGCCGCAGCCACGGCCCTTGTTTCGGGCTTGGGAAACTTGGGTAGCATAACAACAACCTATGCCCTCTACGCGGGTTGGCCTAAAGATGCGATGAAAGGCCCGCACCAGTTCCGCAAGAGCAACCTTGTCATGGTTGGCATTCTGGGTCTCAGCATCGCCAGCGCGTTAGTCATGGCGGTGCTGCTGCGAATGTTTGGTAACCCGCCTAGCACAAAGCTTGACAACGACGTATTGAACGAGCCTGAGGACGGAGCTGCCAGACGAGAAGCGCATCAACCATCGAACTTGACACTTCGGGGGATAATGTCCGACCTCTTCACAGTCTCGCTCATCAGCAAGAGGGCCACCCATCCTTCGCCATAGTCTCTTCTAATCGGCTTAGGCAAGCAGCAGCAGCCCGAAGGCGCCGAGAGTAGCAGTGACAACGCTCCTACGCTATCATTGGTGCAGTAATCTCGCTTTTTTTTTTCAAGACCTATGATGTTATGTCTTTGTTACTCTGTATTGTTTTGTTATGATACCCATCAGCGTTTATACCCGCTGTCAGACGAGCATGTGCATTTTCTCGACGGCGACAGTGCTTTTACGCCATCGCCGGGACGGCGCGTTTGGACCGAGGTTTGGAACTGGCGACAATGCTGGAGCGCTATCGTCAAGGACCTCGTGGGCGTTCTTTTGGCTTTCTATGCTTTTGTGCATGCTACGGATAAGACTTCATGGCACAGGGGAGGTGGTGTCACACGATTACACGAGGGCTACGGTCACGGGACTAGGGCAAAGTCCCTCACCGACTTCTTGTAGTTGAAGACCCCTTTGGTTAACGAGGCCTTGAGGAAACCCAAGGACCTTTGATACCAAAGACTTTTATTAGCTGAATTGAGTCATGTTGTTCCAAGCCCTCTATTGAGCCCTTGTCACATCAGCCTAGTGCCTGACTGGTCGAGGCTGTGCTATTTGCCACGCCCATATTTGTCAATACTTGTTCTTACTTAACCCCAGCTTTTCCAAGTAGCTAGTTGGCTTTCGAGACGCGAGGTGAATTCTTTGTCTCAATGTGGATTCTGGAAGCAAACTTGTCAAGGCATTTAAATGCACCCAGGAAAAATCCCCAATATCTCACATCATTCATTTATATTGCTATTTTCTACCGCCAGCCCTTCCAAAATGGCGGCTACACAGGCAGCGACTAATGGGGAAGTTACTGCCACCACGAAAATGTCGATGCTCTTCACGATCTGGCATCGTGCTACGTCCTCCATCAAGTGGAGGGCTTGCGGAACATGGCTGATGTGAGGGTTATCCAGGATCCTACCTTATGAGAATAACATGAAGGTTGGAATCCGGCCTGTATCAATGCAAAGAAAATATATCCTTGAGGATAAAGATATCCACAACCATAAGAGGCCATAGACGAAGGGAGAGCCAAGAGTTGCACACTTATAAGCTGGATATGAGGAATATTCGGCCATGTGTCGCCATTGCTGAAAGTTCTTGCCCCGTGGCTCAGTGGTCAAGCACGATGACCACTCTGATCAAAAGCTATCAATCCGCGAAATATTTAGTCTCTCTGGAGTCTTCTCACAATGGGACTCACCTAGTTGTCGGGAGGCTGACTAGCCAGACTCTGGCGCCAAAGTTGATACGGGGGAGAACGACACGGCAAGCTTCGACTTCATCTTCTGCCCCCGCCACTGTGTCTTTGGCTGTGCTTGTTTTCTGGGGCTAGCAGTCGCATAAAAAGGCTGCATGCATGGAAAATTAGAAAATATAGAGGGGTATGCGTTGAAAAGGGCCGACGTAAAAAACTTGTGACTTCTAATGTAAGGAGCTCAAACTAACCAAACTTTCCACCCATGCTTACATCTTTGCCATGTCAGTCTAGGCAAACGCCCATCGCTCTGACACTTGCAAACCTGACAAGTAGCTGGTTAATTTTGAACTCGCATTCAGCGGGTTGCATCGTCTCACGCGGCGCAAACTGTCAAAACTCGCTTAAATTTGAGCTCGTAGAGCCCAGTCGTAATATCCCCGCCAAGTATCCATGTTCCCTGTCCAGAGCCCCTCGCGTATGGCAAGGCAAAGCGGTCAAATTAAGAGGTCCAGTTACTAGCCAACGACGGGCTGAACGACGGCAAGGCAGCGTCACGCAAGAAAAGTGCTCTCCTGGCGGAGCAATTCATCCCACGGATATTGCCTGGCATGTGGTATATGAAGCACATCAGGCGTCTAAGCCAACTCACCCACATAAAACGTGCATAATTCACAAACCTTCTCATGACAAATACACTAGTACCTGTCTGGTAGTATTCGGTATCCCACATATATTGACTCCAACCCCCGTTTCATTAACTACCCGCAACCTAAAAAGGTTAATAAATGGAGAATACTAGATCGGAGCATTTTGGAGAAAAGAGCCTAGTAGTTGTTTAATTAAGAGCGGGCTGGAATGACTAGCATGCTTGCCCTTTATACTATATCAGTAAGGTTTGCCGCGCAACGACAGTTTCCAACCTGGCGTCAATAAAGCAAGAGGCATAATATAGCTACTACGGCTCAGTCGACTGGCTAGTAGAGAACGCTCCTCGAGAAAGTGTGTTGCGTGGAATATGAGCTACCACTAGAGCGGCTCGGAAGATTTCAGTAGGCCTTCACTTTTTCTGCTTTTGGGTAATGGAGATTTTTACACTTGAGCATAGTTTATTGTGTGAAAACTAGCCACGCACAGTAGTACCTGATATTCACCCCTTGCAGTTAATATATATCATCACCGACCGAGCACAGGGAAGGGGGGTCGTGTGATCTCTCGCTCTCTCTATCTCTCTAGCTGCGCAATGGCTTGCGGAGACTCCTCTGCCATACGATTTCTTAAGTAAGCGAGTCTCCGTGAGCCATTGCGCAGCTAAAGAGAAACTTGGGCTAGCCTTTTCATTTCTATGCCGAATTCAATAGAAAAATCGTCACGTCTTGAGAGTGTTTGACTCATGCAGTCTGTCCCCTTCGCCACCTATATCCACCGACAATGTCCATCGAGGTGGCCTATGCATCTCGCTTCAGGCAACCTAGCATATTAAATCATGCTTAAATCATGCATTATACTTGCGAGTCAGCAATTCTGGGCTGTATTCGCCAGTCTAGTCATCGTCTTTTGTTGCCGAATATTCTGTTATACATGGTCTCGCGAGAATACATATATAAGTAGCTGCCTATCTAAACTGTTACAAATCTCCCATCAGCAAATACTTATTCATTTCTCGTCCACAACCCCATTATTCGAGACTCCTGAAATCAACCATCACAATGGTATCCAAGGCTGCTATTACACTGGCCGCCCTGCTGTCGGCTTTTTCAGCAACAGCGGCCAGTATCGACAGGAGAATCGTCGGCGGAGAAGACGCCAGGGATGGCGAATTCCCATTCGTTGTTAGCATCACCGGGACGAATGGCATTTGCGGAGGCGCTTTGTTAGATAGCACTACGGTGCTTACTGCTGCCAGTTGTCTTCGGGGAACCGTCTCCGTGAGAGCGGGATCGCTGGTAAGTCTGCCCCCAGGGGCTATGGGAAGCATTGACGAAGCTAACAATGACGAATATAGCAACACAGGGCCGGCGGAAAAGAGGCGAAAATTGCCTCTCGAAAGCCACACCCCGATTATAAACTAAACAAGCGGAACCCTGCTCTTCCCTACGCTGATAACGATATTGGCATCATCAAACTGTCAAGTCCCATTGAGGAAGGCGACAAGATTAGCTATGCAAAGCTAGCGGAAGACGGTTCAGATCCTGTGGTCGGCTCCATGGCCACCGTTGCAGGCTGGTGAGTACTGTTATGAACATTGAAGCATAGCCCTGCCACGAAAGAAGCTAATAAAAACCAAAGGGGTCAACAAGAACCTACGTTCGCCCTCTTGGGCGAGGCAGCAGAGTTCATGGCCAATGTTACTATTCCTATCCACGCACGCGAAGTCTGTGCGAAGATGGATGCAGACGTAGGTGACAGGGATACAGTCATTTGCGCTGGTGGAAAGGGCAAGAATGCATGCATATATGACGGTGGCAGTCCTCTTATTGACGAGAAAACTAAACGGGTAATCGGTGTCACGTCATGGGGCATCCGGGATGAGAATGGCGACTTTTGTGGTCAGGCTCCCATGTTGTTCACCAGAGTCGGCCGCTACATCTCTTTCATTCACGAAAACATGGGGGGCTCCCCTGTTGATGCTAAGTTATGAACCGACATCCACGCCGACGCCTGACAAGGGTCACAAGCTTTGATGGTGGTGAGCAGTGTGTGGGTTCCAAGCTTCGAGTTTAGAGACGTGTCTGGAAGTCTACGCCTTGCCTGGGTGAGGACTCGCGAAGCTGCCTCGCACGTGGGCGTTCCTGAAGCCTGACAAGACGGGGCTCGTGTTCTTTTCTTGGCCTTCTCTCGACAGTCGTCTGAATGTCATGTTATTACAACTTATTGCTAGGAAATGCAACTTTAAAATATAGCTGTCACGTTATGAGACCTATTATTAACTGCGCTTCTTCAGAAAACCAATGCCCTTGTTGTTGTCCTTGTTGCAAACTCTGTTTTGAGCCATTGTTTAAATACCAAAGAATTTCGACATCTGTTGATTGACATGGCCGTAAAGGTGATCCAGTATCCTTCCGTTGGTACCCGAGACACAATTTCTGCTATACATCCTTCTTGGCTGACAGGTTCAAACTGTAGCACAATTACAGGCTGTTCAACCAAAGGTACGGAACACGCGGTTCTGTAAACAGGCATACTAAGTTTCTGTAGTATATCTAGTAAGATCCATGCCACTATCCTGGCGTCCGAGGTTAGGGCTTAACCGTTCCTCTTTACCTACGAGTGCTCGGCTTACAGGTGCGGTGGGACTGCAAGAGACACTATCAATTACCGCGTTTACTTTCCCATCTTCTCAGCACGCTGACCCCTTTACTAAATCCGTCATGAGTTGACTCAAAGTTTATTGAGCACTTTCGTATCTAAAATGTTTCTTCGTGGCTCCTAACCGGTACTCCCATTACTGTCCCGTCTCAAGAAGACGCTCTTAACGCACGTGGTAGTAATTTACATATTAGTAGCGTCAGAGTCGTTCAGCGATGCTTCATCGAAGGGAGTGCATTTTCTAGATAAAGAATTCTTAGGGAAATACATGGCGTTTGGGCTTTCCTGCGTCGCACTGCAGCTGGTCTGTGTATTTGGATGACTTATCTGTCGTCTTCGGTGAGTGTCGAAAATAATGACGTGTCAGATTTTCATTGAGGCTCAAGACAAAATCTCTGCACCCATCATCTAATACTTATATTTAGCTCACCTGAAATTCCAGGCTTTGCGAAAATAGTCCCCTCACGTAAGAGCAGCACCAAAGACTCAGGAAAATAAGGCAAGAAAGTGCGCAATTTTACATCAAACTGCGGCTGAGTAAGCTATTTACAACCAGATTGGCCGACGGGCTACATTATACATTTTATTCAGCCATCGCCTCCTTTGTTCCTGGCTGGCAGCCAGATATGCCTGTCTTGGCCTGCCCTGTTGCCTGGAATTCTGCAGCTGCGGCCATGTCGCCAAATTGCTGTCTCTTCTGGGGAATGCTCATTCTTGATAGTATCAATTTCGTTTTCTTAATTATTTGAATGCCGGATTCGTGAGTAGCTGTGATGACTTTGGATCTCGAAAGGAACGCGTTAAACGGTTTAATATTCATCAACCCACCTCCATCACCTGCAGTTACAGTTAAGCTACGCAGCTGCTGGAACTGGCGGCAATGCATATATCACTGCAACTATTTAAATCAGTATTACAGGCCTTTTACAAGCCTGCAGGGCCTTGGAATATAGCAGTGTGTGACTCATGATGAAGCGTATTGCGCGTTTCTGAAGGATAACCAACAAAGTGTCAATTCATGGAACATGACGACAGCCAGTTGATGCACTTCTCATCCAACGCCCTGAAAAATGGATTCAGAGCGTCAGGACCACTTCTTGTCCCCTCCCTGTTGGTCCGATTACATGTTCCGCCTTGTATTCATGGATTCTGCCTCATCACCAACCAACAAGCGACAATTCCAACACGTCTGACTCTTTGACCATAATCATGCATGCAGGCCTTGCATTGAACGTGTTTGAGTTGTTTTTCAACTTATTGAGGATGCTCTTGTAGCTCAAATCAACTCGTCTCCGCGGAGAACCGGCTCCTGCTTTGCCGTGATAGCAATGCGGCCGCCCCATCGACACAGTACATGCTGGCAGCGTGGCCTGAGATAGTAGTTATGTCTTCTTTTGACCGTTAACTCCACGCTCCTGAGGTAAAACTGAGTTTTGACTAGGAATTCTGCACCCCGCATCTGTCCGTTGTTCAAGTGATCCAAATACTGGGCACTGTTGGTGTTATGCGAGAGAGCAACACCATGCATGCCCTCCCCCTTTGCATCCCACGATATCATTGGCATACAAGAAACGCCCACTAGTGCTTTCGGTCAAGACCAGCTTTTTATCCGTGCGTGGATTCAATGTCATGACTGGAAACCAGATGGTCTGGCTCGAATATGCCTTATGGGTGGGAGGAAAGACTGTGTGGTGCTTGTGTGCTCCATGACGGCGCTTTCGTTATTAGTAGTTGTGATCCCCTTTGCTCTGTTGTTTTACCAGTTTCGTCCTTAGTTTCTATCGTGACCGAGTTTTTAAGCTGTTTAGTTCTCACTCTATCTGCTCTACTGGGATACTAAAGATGACGATGCAACTGGGCGCCGATGTGTATTACTACATGGTGCCCGGGGATAGTACTCCATACTATTATGGAAGTGATGGCAATTGGCATCCCGTCATTCACATTCAAGATATTACAGGGACTATCAATGAAGACGCGAACCATGCCGCCATATTTCTGAATCTCATGATGCGGCACAACAACTCATTCCGCAACGATGCCGGTGAACTTGTAGAGTTCACCAGAGCGATTGTGGTGTGAGTGTTGCCCCCGTTTGTTTCGTCCTCTTAGCCGACCGCTGATCGAATATTTCTATAACCGGGCTTCATGGATCAAGTGCCCTCTCTCGCGGATCCTTACAGCTATCTCGGTATCCAACAGAATGGTATTCAGCTCAGCAGTGACCGCCTTTTCATGAACGATGGATCTACACATATGTACCATTTTCGACCGGAACGGCCAGAAGGGTCTTTTTTCTACAGCGAGGCCTGGACCAGACGACAAATTTCGAACAAGCAGAATAATGCTTACTCGCAAAAAAACACCAAGGGAAAGAAGAAGGATCCTCCTTCTGAGGGTGGTCACGGTACAAAGAGCGGCTCGTCCAAGGGTAGCTCGTCCAAGGGAAGTTCGTCGAAAAGCAGTGCCTCAAAGACCGGCTCGTCCAAGCGCCGTACAAGCAAGGCTGGTCATTTCAGGCCGCCTAATAATGACGACTATGGCCCTGCGGCGGCCGCAGCCCCTGCTCGCAACATGAGTCGCCTCGACAAACAGCTTGGGAACTCGATATTCTCCGCGCCACGACTGGGCATACATGACCAACAAGCTGCAAATGCAATGCACGGGCCGAGCATAGACCGATTTGAGGTCAGCACATATGTCACCGGACCTTTGTTCGATGTTGCGAGACTCTGTCTTCTTATTCTTGTTCTTTCTTAGCATCCACCAGCTGGGTCAGAGTATTGTATGAGCGCTTATCTTGATGCGAGGTAGTCATGAGTACTCAGATACATACATACATGTACTGCTTTTTGTGTACTACGGCATATCTATATACTAAATCAGGCAAATATATCTCATCAAAGTCCGTCTATATCGTAGTTCTACTATTGGATAGTCTTTTGAACAAACTTAGAACGTAATTGGTGAAGCAGGGAGTACGTGTTTCATTGTTGGTTGCAATGTTGATTTCGTCGTTTATTGTTGTACAAAAACGTATTAGGGACATTGGTACATTCAATATTGGTACATTGGTACATTGGTACCTTGGTACCTCCTGATCAATATGTGAATTTCGCATCCTCTGCCTCTGAGAACATCCAACTTGACGCATCGCGGTTCTCGCTTGTCCCCGTCAATCTCGCCGACGATGCCTTATGAAGTCTCAAAGCAGCCACCGCCGCCTCCCCAGAAATACGCTGTTGGTTATGGCTGGTGGGACGAGTATAAACATAGTGTACAGGTATTGCCCCATGAACGAATTGAGCGCTATGTTCCCGGGCGGTTTCATCCAGTAGCACTTGGCGATACTTTTCACAACGGTCGGTATACAGTCAGAAATAAGCTTGGACACGGGGGATTTTCGACCGTCTGGCTGGCGAGAGACAACGACGTTGGGTAAGCAAGCGGATTATTCTTCAGTGTGCGAGACTGATTTCTCGCAGGCGTTGGACCTCGTTGAAAATTAAACAGGCCTACGTCTCGACGACGTCTTTGGACGATGACAAAGAAGTCAGGGCTTTGAGGGTTCTCGAGCAGAATTATGTATCGAGCAATTCATCAAGCCCACCGTGTTTCGCTCGGCTTTTGGACAGTTTCCACCACCATGGACCAAATGGCACGCACACCTGCGTTGTCACCGAACTCCTCGGACCAACATTATTTCATCTGGTGGCCAATTACAATGATTATCAAATTCAGGAGCTTTTTCGCCCCGATACCATTTTAAGGGCCTCTAGACAGCTCCTAGAGGCAATTCATATGGTTCAAGAGTACGGGATTGTACATGGAGGTATCGTTTGTTATTCATCCCCTTGCCCACATGATCCGAGACTCGAAGACTAAAATTTGCAGACATATCTTCAGGAAATGTGGCTTTCACATGCTACCAGCTGCTCGAAAATGACGACGAACTTGAAGAGATTCCCGGGGGGGATCCCATCGTCGCCGAGTACACGGCGACCGAACCGTTGCCAAGCCACCTTCCAAAGCATATCGTGAGCGCGGCTTCCTGGAATGGTTGGTATGATTACGCAATGGAGGACGTCAGGTTGGTAGACTGGGGGGAATCTTTTCCCACCAGTCAGACGGCAACGGCAACTCATCTTGCTCAACCCTGCGATCTGAAATCCCCCGAGACCTTCTTCGTCGGTTCAGTCGACTACCGGCACGATTTGTGGAGGGTAGGCTGCATGGTATGTCTGCCTGTTTGTCTTGCGTCTCTCTCCGACTTGCAGACTTAGTAGCCTTACCAGATCTCACTTCTAGATCTACACATTATTCCATCAAAGGTCACCATTTGGGTTCTCCTCTTGCGATGCCAAGGATATCCAAAAGCAGACACAGGTCATCGGTCCGTTGCCACCCAAGTGGCACACGATGTGGTTGAAATTGATAGAGGAAAGCCCCAAGTACGAACCATTACGTAAGTTCTTCTTGGCCAGGGCTTGTATCACTATGACGTTTGTCTTATGCTGATGATAGCGGACAACGCGCTCAAACGTCTTGACCAAAGTTTTGAGCCGCGAAGGTTGGCCATTATTTCTCACGCAGAAAAGACCTATGAGAGTGACGACGACGAATACCATGTGAAAGACGACTACGAGGCATTGACTTGTCTCCTAAGCGTGATGGAAGGGCTCATGCAGCATGACCCTGAGAAACGCAGCTTCGCTCAAGAAGCCGCGGCGAAAATTCAGTGGCACGATTACCGGAGAGACTTGGGGTCAGATGTATCCGAGGAAGACGTTACTGAGAGCGAGGAGGAACAGGAGTCTGACAGCTGACGAGCTTCTTTCATGCCGCTTCCACTCGGGATGTATCCTCATGGAAGAGTCGAAGGGTCAACACCAGTCTTCTCATAAAGAAGGCCGACTCATCAGACGGCGGGGAAGTGGAACTAGAATGCCTTTCTTGGCTCCCTGGTGAGAATGTTGAACCAAGGCGGCAGAGGCGAAACTAGCTGGAGCCCCAAGCCAGACAGCTCCATTGACGAAAGCCTTTAGAGTTCAGACAGTGGCAGTATCAATGATGAGAAGAAGACCTAGTCGAGCATGTGGGAACTGAGAGCACAAACCGAACCAAATAGATGACAGGAATAATATGTGCAGACGTGTTCTGCATCATTTGCATATTTATCAGAGCAGCCTGTCTCTATAAATTCACGGTCAGAAAAGCCTTCCACCTACGAATATAAGAAACAGTTAGGATTATTATCGCCGCGCGTCTTTGGCGTTCCGGGACAACCGTGTAATCAAAAGCAGTAGCCACCACACACCATAGCAGCGACGTAATCTTCACGGATACGCAATAGGCAGCAATCCTGCTTGAGGCCCAGCAATAGCTGACTCGTGGACATGGGCCTTATTAGTCCAAAGGTAAGGGGTATAGTGGGATATAGCCCACTAGAAACTACATGCATTAATAAGACATTCATGCCTTATATGCTACGAGTCAGCAAATCGCATTGAAAACTGGGTGAGTTTAAAGCCAGCTAGCAATAGCTGCGAAATAGCCTTTTTTGGTAGCCCTTTAATTTCCGTCAAAATGGCTAGCGTCTTAGGGTCACGGCAATTGTTTGAACCCTTTATTAAACCCCGTTAAAACTGACTTGCAAAAATACATGTGGGCTTGTCAAGACGTTATATATAGTCTGGTGCTTGTAAAGAACTGGCTCTACTTGTCTCTACATGTAGGCGCGACTAAAAATAATGGCACAGTTAAAGAGAACGACATGGGATCTTCACTAACAGTGCAAGTAGTAATAGTGCCGCCGGTTTACGCGGGGACCCTGGCCGTTGCATTAACTGACTTACTCGTTTCTAACTTGGCAGGCTTGTCTCCTTTTCTTCAAAGACTGCTGTGTTTCGTATATATTCTAACCCCTGTTTGATTAATAACCCGTCACCTGACAAGGTTAATAGAGCATAAGAGGTGAGTAGTTATTAAGTAACATTAGTACGTATTGAACAAGTCACTCATGACTGTTCAATCTAGTACTATACAGGATCGCTACTATCGCTAGGTCCAGGCTCTAGCCTGAACTATAACAGATTTATAGTAGTATTAATAAATCCTGGTAAGAGTACTAGCTTTCTGGCTTTTTCTCTTAAAAACCAAGTACTTACTCCCCCTATCTTTACTTTATTTATTATATACCCTCTTATAAAGTCACGGCTAAATACTTAAATAGGGGTTAGGGTATATATTGCATTTACCAGTATATCCCTGCCAGCCGCACAAACCAAGCCACTATACACGAGTAAGTATCAATAACACAATCCAATCACAGTATGTTTAGCTGTAATTGACCTGGCAAGGAAGTTTATAAAGATTATGCAAGAGCCTCTTTAGTAATAAAAGCGTGGTAAAAGTTACGTGTCGTGCAAGGTATTATCCCTGTACATGAAAAGAAAATCTCTTGTTGTACTCGTGGCAAAAGGGAGACTCCCTCGTATAGAAAGCTATATTGCTGCCCTCACTTCACATCCAACTATTTATCCTTTACCAGGCAACCTGTGTCTAGTTTTTATTCATTCCCATTTCCACGGCCAGCCTACAGACCATCATCAAACCCAATCTTCATCCTACCCACCATGGCTTCCATCAAGAGCTCCCTCTTACTTGCCTCCCTCGCAAGCCTTTCTCTGGCCACACCTGTCCGTGAGAAGCAATCGCCGCGTGCACAACTACTGCCCTATTACCTTGGCAAGCCGCACAAGTGGCCTAGTCTGCAATGTGCAGCCACAGGCCAGTGGGGGCGCGTTCTTGACGAAAAGATTTGCGGCACCTGGTACTTTTGCCACTATACTGTCCTTGCGACTGCCAGGGACTACGATCTTGGGCACGACCAGTCATACCGGACATTTGATGCGTGTCTCAAGGATCGTGAGCCCGCGCCAGATGGTCAAGAAGGTTCTGAAAGGCTACAGGAAAGTCTGGTTCCTTATATGGAGCGGGCCGTCCATTCCGATGATCCTTGTGTCGCGTATAGTCTTGCCAGACCACAAAGCGCCATGTTTTGGTGCAGCACCGACCAATATTGCAAGGAAAATGTCGAGCAGGGTCGCAAGACTCTTGACGAGTGCCTGGCACTTTTCGAGAAGCGACCCGTAGGCCCTGAACATCCCGAGGATCCCAAGTCTGATACGCAGCTCTTTCAAGGGGAGGACGATTCGGAACCGATGCCCGTCTGGACTTGAGCGTATACTTTTCTCGGACATGTCCACCTGGCTAGATCTTCACCTTTGAGCTGGCATATTTGAACAAGTCTCTGCACGCTTCTTTAATACAGGGCGTCCATGAATCTTGCCATTTCCCCAAGCTTTGATATCACAGGGTGGGGACACCCAGGCTACTAGTTTAGAAAAGAAAATATATGTACGAGATCAAATAAATATATATATATTTTCACACCCGATGTTTATGCTAAGTTCTCACGGCATATCCTCTTTATATAACTGTGGTATAGAAATCTCAGAATTGCCGCAATAGTATTATACCAGACTGCATATCTTGCCAGGGGTATACGTGAAAGCAATCTATCAGATTAAGAAACTTATTATTATGTTCTAGGTTAAGTATTACTAGTAATAAACACACGTGCCAAATATAAACTAGGTTTTATAGCGTAGCGCAGCTTTATTGTTAACAGTCTTTAGTTGGCCTGATTATTATACTAACTTTCTCATTTTTAACCTAGATATATTTAAGATTATACTTATATAAACACCCTTATTAGTTTATATTATAGCTAGGCTATTAGTAATAACAGAGAAGTAGACTGGGTTAAATTAGATAGCGCAGCATTTTTAGGGCCCCTAACAGGGCAAAGTGATATCTGGTATTTATGTTCAAGAGTCTGGTATTTAGCAAATAATATAGCGAAAGTCTGTTTAAACAGCAACACCTGTACCAAGGCCGTAAAAACGAGGTTATTAAAGAGGCTCGCAGTCACGCTTTGCTTTTCAAGTTTATAAATTACAAGTAGTAAATAAAGTCAAGTATTACGGTTTCGATCTCCAAACGCGGCGTCAAATGTCGCCGCGTTTGGCGGCAACAGCCCGGGAATAAAGAAGATCCTGATGCTACGTCCGTCCGTCTCCGTGAGGAGATCCCGACGGATAAAGCCGAAGCAGCCCTACCACCCCCCAGTGCTTGACCCTGTACAGATTTGTACCCGAGTTTGTGTCCCAAAGGCAGATCCACTACCGTTGGATGCCGTGAGTGAGGATTTACTCGTGTGGGGACTGTGCACAGCGACGGACATGACATGAATGTCGTCGCGGGACGTGTATGATGTTACTCTAGTTTCTCCTCGGGTGCAGGTGAAGTATCTAGTTTCGGGGATGAGAAGAGAAGAGCACTGTGGCTGTATCGCACCCCTGCTCAAGCAAAATAACTCAAAGTTGGCCTAGAGCCTAGATGAACTAATGAAAGTGAAGCCATGGCTTTGTCTTGCGGCTATGGGCAGCAGCGGTGAAAAATCAAATAATCGATTCTGGTATTCTTTCCATGCCTTCCTTCCAGGACCCACAGGAGTCGAATCAAGCAAGCTGCGGCGTTGCTCGCAAATGTCGGCATAAATTATAATACTGTTCTGTTTTTCATGCCAGCCTCTTCCAATATTATGTCCAAATTTCAACATGGAATTTCGAACCCCTTTTACCATGTTAGTTTGTGCGTCCAACAGCCGACTTACACATCTTGGCGAATAAAGTCTTCTGTTGATTGGTTCATGTGGACAAAAAGGGTCCTATGGAGACGCGAAGCATTCCGTATAACCCTAGGGTCCGTTTGCTTCCAAAAGCTCAAGGACCATCTCTCTAACCACCATAGCATAAAGCGGCCTGTGCAATGAGCATGATCGAGCACACAGATGCCGTAGTCCCCATCTCTCGTCCTCAATCTCCAAGATCAGACGTCGCAGTGTATAGCAGCTCGTGAGTCGTCACGACCCAGTCCACGGGACAACTGCTACAAGATGCACGAGAGCCACCTTTCCTCAGCCCATTCCAGCCCTAATTCTTCACAAGATATAACAAGGGTACGGTACTATAGGGTCATGCGAGTTCGCACGCTCCCAATAAGTGGGTTGTGGCACGAGTATTTAAACATGTGCGCCGACGATGCGCACTCCAGAACTACACCACCACCTTTTTTTCTCATCTCGTGTTTTAGCACGCAGACAAAGTGTGGCACGAGCCCGTCCCGACACCTACCATGCGATTCGCTTCCTTTGCCCTTGCCCTCGCGGGCTCTGCCGGCGTAGCCGTGGCCGACTGCAGCAGCTACACGGCATATCCCGACGATGGCGAGATTGCGCTGTACCGCAACTACAACTGCCACGGGAAATATTCCAACGTCGGCGCCATGAACACGTGCGTGAGCAAGGTTAACTTCGACGCCTGCTCTGCCATTACGAGGAAGGGCGTCACCTGCGACATTTACAAATCCAACGACTGCGATGGAGGGTACATTGCTACCATTGACTCGGACGGCTACCGATACTTTTGCGGGTGGGTGGTTGATACCGTCAAGAGTGTTCGGTGTCGCTCGGCCTAAGCCGACTTGAAAAGGTAGTAAGGTGCTTTTGCTGTTTCTTCTATGCGGATACTAAAGCTGGCTAGTTACTGAAACGATGGTCAGGGACGCCGTCATGGCTCAAGGTTGGGAGCATGTACATGTCGCCGAGGCGAGTTGGTCGCGGAGGATTAGGTCTTCTAGTTTAGAAGGCAGAGTTATATAGATACACGCCCGCCACAGGTACTATATGACAACTTGTTAGGTGATTATACGGCTTCTATGTGACGCGCAGGTCCTGAGAACGACGTGGGAGTTGCCAGACCCCCCAAGCCACCAAGTTTGCCAAACCATCTTTGCCTTGTAGTTTTTTCAACGAGTGAAAAGGCAACCGCCTCAGTATTTTTAACTAGTCTAACACAATAACACTTTTCTTTAGTTCCTCGCGGTACTTGGAAGCCATGCTAGCATAGTTATTCAGTCCATGTAGACAGCGCGGGTGAATGCGCACCGAGAAACTTGTCAAGTTTACCGCTCATGTTATGCTTCGTGATACAAGTCCCGCATGTCCTCTATATTTTGACATGTTGATACAGCGCTTGCGCCACACGCATTCGCCATGGTGTGTGGTGAGTCGCATCTCGCCCGGTTGTCCGCTACCCTCAGAGAGGGCCGAGTCCTTGAATAGGGTTGTATGAGACTCTTCGTCGTGGATATTTTCCTTAACAACTTGCCTTTAGTTAAACTTTGCCAGCTTGGTTCCTGTACGCAACTCGAGATCAATGTTGAGCTCTTGGTAACACCGTTGCCTTTGTTGGAGCTGATGCCGGAACACAGCATTTGCAGTGGCCATGTTTCTGCGCATCCAGTCAGCTTTCATTGGTGACATGGCCATTCCTATGCCTACCAGCAACCTGTGGTTCGTGTCAAACGATGGCGAATTGGATATATTCCTAACTGGCCCAGAACATATATTAAGTTCGAGCAAGACGATCAGGGCGCGCTTATTGAGAGCAAATCCTGTTTCTGACCCACATAGAATAGACTTCTCGCTGATCGCAATTTATACTATATATGGGTCAATGAATACCCGTGTTACTCCATCTTGGCTATGTATAGGAGAGAGAATACATGGGGCCGAGACCACTGTCGGTAGTTGATTGTGGCACTGGCTTTAGCCTCTCGGATCAATCCCTGAAACAAATTAGTTTCAGGCTCCCCAGATCTGAAAGTATCTGTATATATGTATATTTTTGCAAGAGGGTGCGCCACACCACTTGGGGTCAGAGCACTAAAAGCTTATCCACCGAATTAACCTTAATTCATAAGGAAAACAGTTTCCCCCGCGTTGATTAAAGGGTACTTTCGCACGACAAGCTAGCTGAAAGCAGTAGCCGCTAATGTTCTATGTTCCGGTGTGGCCAAGTACGCAGGTTAAGCGATGCTACGCTTTGGAGTATGGGCGATACTATCCATGGATCTTGGTACCAAGCAAAGTATGTAGTGCGCATCTATCTATACATGGTTTCTATTTTTCATCGATGTTATATATCACGGGTTCTTTCTTCTCTTCTCTTCTCCATCTCCCAATCCGCACTTGAGACACGCCGGCGAGTTTTGCTTCCGTCACAACCTTTTTTTAGCACATCCTGTTTAATTTCACAACATCGCTTTTGCGAGAATACCATCTTTTTTTTTTTACAACCTTCAACATGAGATTCACCATCGACTCTACGCTCATTACCGCCGCTCTGGCTCTCTCGGCCGCCCAGACGGGCCTGGCTGCGCCTGTGCCACAAACCAACGGAGCCGGTAACCTCTTGTCTGGCATCCCTCTCGTCGGGAACTTGTTAGGACCCCTCCTGTCCGGCATTCCCCTTGTCGGCGGCTTGCTCGGCGGAGGCGGCGGCGGTGCTGGTGCTGGTGCTGGTTCCGCCTTGTCTGGCATCCCCATCGTCGGCGGCTTGCTCGGCGGAGGAGGTGGCGGCGCTGGTGCCGGCCTCGGCGGCCTCGGCGGTCTGCTGGGCAGAGACGGTGACGCTATTCCGAGGGAGGAGAACAGCGCCAGCTCCTAAGTACATGGAGCACCAGACGCGTCTGGTTGCGACGGGCCAACTGAGCTGGCTGGTCTCGTTGTCGCGACTAGCAGACACGGACCGAACTGAATACTGGACTGGTGCTTTGTTGAATCTATCGAGCTACGGAATTGGGGCCTGTTTTATAGCTGGACATGACCACAACCGGGCAGCTTAGTTGGAACGCTGAGCAACCATGCAGCTACTTTATCACCACGCCTGGATGACCTCGTGGATGGATCGACACTTGCGGATACCGTTGTTAGTTTGGGGGCAATTAATGAACTAATTGACTAACTTTTTCTATTGCCGAAGTCAAAGTATTTCCTACTATATACGATATATCGTGTAGGTTTTCAGTTTAATGCGGTGCGCTTAACTGGCCTGAATTATATTGAAAAGTGTGTGCCAGATATCTATTTCCAAGGGAATTGATAGAGCGGCATGAAACTTTTGATACAGAGGCATGACTATTTGCAGCTTTGACTCGCCCAAATTTTCTCGACCAGCATGTGTGCCAATACGCATAGTATTTCTTGACCAGTACGGCCGTAATTCATGCAACATTGAATACTTGGCTGCACAGCGCTACGATTGTCATTTTCAAGCCATCCATGGCAACATGGTCCGTTTTTGAGCCGGCACGTCTTTAGTTTCCCAGGCTCATAAAAGTCAACAGAGCTCTCCGTCTTAGCCAAGGAATGAGAAATTGGGAACTGCGCAGTGGCGTATTGGACTCGATAGTCTTTTCGAGTTTGAAAATTTGAGAAAACATATTCGATCGGTCTCTCGGCAACTAACCTCCTAGTTCAGTTGACGTGGGTGCTTGAGAGCCGATAATTGGGAGCGGCATGTCTAGACTCATGGATAGATCCAACTCTTTGGGATTTGTAAAGATGCCCTCTGCTATCAAATTTGCATTGTTTGACTTGACTCCTCTATCGACTTGCCTATGCAGAGGCACGCCGAACACCGCGCAGAGTTTAGACGGCCAACAGCCAACGCACCACATGAGCGTTTGCACCGGCTCGGACTCAACCACACACCGCAGGCTTCATGACACGTATGTAGATACTTGTGTACTAATAGCATGCTGGCACTACCGATCACCATTGGCAGGCTACATGTACATATGGCGCGCAGAGTAGGTAAATATGCGTAGTGTGCCTCTCCACCAGAGCTGGCCACGGGACTACTCGCATTCATGTCTTGGTACGTCATGTATCACACATTTCGTCAAATTGGCTCAGCGAATTCGGAGCCGGAAAGATCCCTCGAGACCCAAGACAAGGTCCCGCAGCAAATCATTTCGGACGTTGGGCAGTTTGCATACCGCGGTTTGTGCGCATAGAATAGCCCGTCGCCAACGTACCATCTCGGCTTGTAAGCACAAGGCGTCACGAACAAGTCGTCACAATGGGCAGCCATGGATCGCATGGAACGCGGACTTGGTGCTTGATTAACTAGCCAGCTTCTAATTTGAACCTTGCGCTGGTTCAAACTGTATAACCCAATTCGAAGCATGTAGATGAAAATGCCCGGCTTGTTAGAAAGCCCGATTGATGATTCAATTGATGACGTACTCGTTGACACAAGTACAAAGGAACGACGACCACCGTCCTTTTGAGCTAGCATCGACAGCCAGCTCCAGTCGACTCCCACATCTTTATCACATCCAGATCCGGCCCAGCGGCCATATCAGGGCTCGCGGCGAAATACCAACAACATTCGCACAGTTTCGCTTCTTGTATCAGGCACCTGCCCAAAAACATGAAGATTTCAGCTGCCATTATGGTTGACGTAGCCCAGCTAGGCATAGCGAGACCTATGCTGATCGGAGAAATCGGAGGACAGCACTGCCTTCCATACGGAGCCCTTTGCGAGACCGGTTTTGGTTCCGTTGGCACTTGCTGCGAAGGACTATGCGTGGCTGACATTATTTCTACCGACAGTAGTCATTGCGTAAGTTGCTATCTGGAACTGGTGGCGAATTCTGTTTGCGCAAGGCTGACACACCAGGCTATATGTAGCGATAACATTTTCGGATACTCAATCACGCAAGATATCCGAGGCTGCTGCGACGAGTGTACGCTAGTTGAAAATACAGGGAATTGCTGATTGTGCAATTTGCATCTTTTTGTCATGTCTGGTGGACACTACGAACCTGGCATCACATCTTGACGTGTGCTTTCATGTCCTCTGGCAAGCCTTTATACTGAAGACCACTGTCCGATATAGTTGGTGTGCCAACTTGGCCAGATGTTGGACAAGGAAACGACTTTATACAGCAGCGTGCAACGGCAGACATCGGAGACTGACTCATACCAGCCAGCGCCGTCTGGCCAGTCTACAGCTCGGGACAGCACGTCCCCGAGAGCATCCACGGGCCAGCAAGCTCGAGGCAGTGACGATCCGCCGAATGCCGCAACAGCTCAATGGAATCCGTTGTATTACTCCAATGGAACCCCGACTGCTGTCCTGACGGAACTGCTAGACGATGTGTTTCGCTGTCTCGATCCGCAGCAAACGGGGTACATCCGACCCGAGACCTACTCGTCTTTCCTCACGGCCATTGGATGGCCCGAGACTCAGGATTTGTGTATGGACCCCTGCCACAGGTCATTCTATTTGCTTTCCGCCTTGAAAATCACCTACTAACTACCCACATCAGGGAAGTTGGGCATGAAACCCGGCATCGGGCACACAGCCGAGGACGCCGGCGACATGTTCTTCACAAACTTCCTGAGAGCTCTTGACATTGAGCACACCTACACCAGACGCCATGCGGGGCTCCTCATCCCCGGCAGCCTTGGTATGCCGTGGATCACGGGTAGGGGCTTCAGAGACGTGTTTGTATTCGAGTTTGCTGCCGAGCCGCTGCTTGCCCCCGCGTGCCTGAATAGACTTGTCCGGGTGTACGGTCTGAGTCGGGGCCGCGGCTTGATACCAAGAGAGTGCTGTCTGCAGAGAAAGCCGGCTGAGGTGGCGGAACGTGAGCGCGTAGCTGGCCAGAGGGCTCGCGCTGGGAACATGGAGCTGCTGGAAGCTATGCGTCTTCATTGCGAGATTTCCAAGAGGGGCAGAGATAACGCGAAGGAGCTTTTGTCTCCGTATTGGTATACGACTCGGGCGTATGGGGGTAGCTGGTATAGTGACTTGATCTGAGGGGGAATGATCTTTATAGTCTCAATTACTGGCTAGACTGGTTGCATTGGACAAGCTTGACTCTCGTGTCGTCGGGTCCAACGTGTCGAAGAGACTGCAACTTGTGTCATTCAAACACAGGCCCATCTTTGAATCACAGGTCGCAATTGCCGTGATTTGTAAGTGTGAGAGATGTGCCCCTCGCACATTGCAAGCAGAGCGTATAGAGCTCGCAGTTGAATTCAGAGATCCAGGCATCCAGAGATCCAGGAAACCATCGTTCAGTCGGCCACCACGGCAGCGATATCTACACGCGGTCAAGTCTTGCGACGATACCTCAACCGTCATTTTCAAGAGAAAGACCTGCACTGTCCAACAAGCATCAGGCGCAGGTCGTCAATCTACATTGGCGGATACACGACTACAATTCAACCGGCGACAATATGCGCTTGGTACAGCTTGATGATTTGACCGGAAGCAGAGTGAATACACGACTACGACATGACCCGCGGCAATATGCCCCTGGGTACAATCTGATGCCGCAAGGGCACACCTGGGGCGCCATCTAATACGCAACCTGGGCAGCCAGCCCGTCCAACTCCCGGTCCCAGCATCGATGCTGGCTCATCGACCAGAAGAGCTGGTCCAAAAAGTGCTTCGCACCCTTGGTCGCCTGCACAACCTCCTTCAAGCTCTCGGGCTTGGGATCCCTCAGCGTGACGACACCATAGCTCAGCACCGCATCGCCATCCCCGGAGAACCGCACACCATCCAGCGACACGGCCTTCCTGACAAGGTCTACGGCCTCGCCCGTCGCAGCAACAGTCTTGAGGTGGCCAAACGCCTCGCGCACGTAGTGCGTGACTCGGCCCATTTTGGCCAGCGCATCGACAGACGCCTCCCCGCCAGGGATGAAGACGGCGTCAAACAGCGTGCTCCGCTGCCCTTCAAAGTGGTGGTCCGGAACGAGGCCCCTGGCCGACTGGCTGTCCTCGCCGGCGGCAAAGACAGGCGAGCGCCGTGGGCCGAGAACAACGGGAATTGCGCGCGCGGCTTTGAGGGCGGCCACGACGGCGCCGTAGGAGATGGCGTCGTAGCCGTCGGCGACGAGGACAGCGACCTTGCGCGAGGCAACCGTCACCCGTTCGGGGACGTATTCGAGCTGGCTCAGTCCGGCGGCCGTCTTGCCGTGGTTCTGCCCGGGGGACGGGGCCGGGCTGGGACCGCCGACCATGGCGGCCACGGCCCGCGCCAGGCCCATGTCAATATCGGCGAGACGCTGTGTCAGGCGCTCGTAGACAATGGGCTCCTCGCAGTGGTCTAGCTCAAAGGAGAGTGCGGCCGCGATGTGCCTCTTTTCAATGTCCGACATGGAGTTGTAGAAGAGCTGCGCCTGCGAGACGTGGTCCCTGAACTTGTCGCTCTTGGCTCGCATCTTGACGCCCCTAACCTCCTGCGGGTGGTCGACGTAGCCGCCTTCTTCGCGGGACGCCGGCGGCTGCGCCTCGAACCGGTTCGGCCAGTAGTTGACCTTGCCGCGGGCAATCGTGTGCCGCATGGCGCCGTCGCGGTTGAAGTTCATGACGGGGCAGACGGGCCTGTTGACCGGCAGCTCCTCCCAGTTGACGCCGAGCCGGCTGACCTGCGTGTCAAAGTAGGAGAAGTTGCGGCCCTGCAGGAGGGGGTCGTCGGAGAAGCCGACGCCCGGCACGACGTGGCTCGTGCAAAAGGCCGCCTGCTCCGTCTCGGTGAAGAACTCGTCCACGTTGCGGTTGAGCTCCAGCTCGCCGATGTAGCGGACGGGCACGAGCTCCTGCGGCCAGACCTTGGTGGCGTCGAGGACGTCAAAGTCAAAGTCGTCCGCCTTGGCATCGGGGATGACCTGGATGCCAAACTTCCACCTGGGGTAGACGCCGGCGTCGATGGCCTCGGCGAGGTCCTTGCGGTGAAAGTCGGGGTCCTGGCCGGCAATCTTGAGGGCCTCGTCCCAGACGAGCGAGTGGACGCCCAGCTCGGGCGTCCAGTGGAACTTGACGAGGTGCCGCTCGCCGCGGGCGTTTTGGAGCGTAAACGTGTTGACGCCGAAGCCCTGCATCATCCGGAAGGACCGAGGAATCGCCCGGTCCGACATGGTCCACATGTACATGTGCGTCGCCTCGGGGTGCATGTACATGAAGTCCCAGAAGTTGTTGTGCGCCGACTGCGCCTGCGGGATCTCGCAGTGCGGCTCGGGCTTGGCCGCGTGGATGAGGTCCGGGAACTTGATGGCGTCTTGGATGAAGAAGACGGGCATGTTGTTGCCGACAATGTCCCAGTTGCCCTCTTGCGTGTACATTTTGACGGCGAACCCGCGCACGTCGCGGACCGTGTCGGCGGAGCCGCGGCTGCCGAGGACCGTGGAGAAGCGGACGAAGACGGGCGTTTCCCGAGACGTGTCCGTCAAGACGCCCGCGTGGGTGACGTCCTCGGCGGACTCGAGGAGACGAAAGGTGCCAAAGGCGCCGGCGCCGCGGGCGTGCACGACACGTTCTGGAATTCTCTCATGGTCGAAGCGGTGTATCTTGAGGTCTTGTCAGCGGAACAGTCCACCGTGGGAATTCGCAACACTACCGGACCTTTTCTCGAGCAAAGGCGTCCTCGAGGAGCATGGGACCCGTCGTCTTGTCACTGCGCACGCGCAACCAGTCGTCCGTGTTGGACTGCTTGGTCCCAAAGTCTGCCGTGATTCTGTCCTTGGGCGTGGGCTCTACCACCGAGGCCTCGAGCTGGTCCGCCTTGGCTGTCTTGGTCGTCATGACTGCGGTGTTGATTGGGAATGTCTTGGCTGCAATTCGCTGCTACTATCCGCGACGTTTGCTGGTCGACTATATATCGACGATACAACAGCAAGACCCGCGTGCTCAAGGCCCCCGAGCTGGTACATGACTGGTATATGACATCAACCACCTTGGACAGACCAACCAAGATTGCCTATTGGGATAATCGCAGCGTTGCATTTCGCTGCGGATGACGGCCGCCATTGCGCCATGTTGATGTAATGATGAAGTTGTCAACGGTGGCGTGCGGCCGGACGGAAACCTCCGAGCCGTCCGGATCGGCATCGGCATCGAGGACCCACCTACGGTGACGCTTGTAATCCGAGTGCGGCGCATGATGGAATGTAGACTATGTTAAATCTATTTTAGAATCCAAGGCACCCTTTTCTTTCTTCTTGCGCCCAACTCGCATCTCAACCTTTTATTTGCGCAGCAACCGCCGACCATGATTGTCACCAGACGTGTAGCATCTGCCACCCTGAAGCCGGGCATCACTTGGCGAGCACATCCCCAGAGGACATTCGCCGATATTTCCGGCCCAAACAAGCCCGCACGGCCTACCGAGATTCAAAACAAGTATGTCCTGCATCTAGATTCGTCGTGTACTGTACTAACGCTCATGTATCCAGCACCACGCTGTGGATGACAGGCTTGGCGGGAGCAGGATTGGCGGCTTGTTATTTCATCTTTTTGGCGAAACCAGAGGCCGTAGGTAGCGAAGCGACTGGCAACCCAGAAAAGATGAGGGACCCCAAGATGGCTAGAGAAAAGTAGATTTTCACGAGGGCCACGGCAGTAATGTACGTGCTCATCACCACCATCTATCCCCAAGATGCCATAGCTTCTATCCTGTACAAAGTCTATATACTCCGTCTATTTTCAGCAAGGGCGAATGTGCCAACTACCACGCCATATGACCCCCATCGAGCACGAGATGACACTGTTCCCCACCCCTTCCTGTGACGACATGAAACAAAATAAATCAACACATTCTCAAGTTTATTCGCTTCCGGTAGTTCAAAAATAAAAAGACCTGTACTTATAGAATGTACACTTCTGCCTTGAACGGACTTATAAATACTCAAGTATGTATACCTCTGCTTACCTCTGCTGTAGCGAATGTCATGCTATGATGACTTGTTTGCGATGATATTGTAGTTATAACGACTCTTTCGTGTATATCATTTAGAATTTCTCGCGAGCTGTGAAATCGATACTCGAATGGGTATTCTCCTGAGCTTTCTTTCGCCCAGCTGATAAAACCACCCTGTTCTTTTGCTCAACATGCCGACACGGCGCACCGTTTGTGAGTGACCGACCTGAGAGAGCTGATAGGGCCATCTTTGCCTTTCAAGCAAAGGCTGGTCCCGAGTTTGGAATCCGCCGCCAGAGTATGGCGCCGGCTGTCTTTCAAAGCCAGCGCCATCGCTTTGTAGATGGCGCTGTGAAGCTTGGCCAAAGTCACTGGCGCTCGCGGCTTGGGGTCTCGGATTACTTTTGTTGGATGATTTCCATCCTGCTGGCCGGGGAGGCAAAGGCGGTGGTGCTGGTCGTGGCGCGCGTTGGCTTCCACCCTCGCCGGAAAAGGCGCCCCGTTTATCTGGACAAGTTGGACTCATATTCGCAGTTTTTGCAGGCTGAACGATACAGCAGATATATGCCTCACAAGGGGAAACATGATGTCGACGGTTGTTGGTAGCCCATCTACACGGTATAAGAGCTGAAAAGGCGAGCGCGGCTGAGCAGCCAAGGTTACACAGAGGGCCTAGAAGACATGATATTAGGTACAGGTGCTCACATGCACCCGATCAATTACTAACCTCACTTAGTTTAGCGGTTCAATGTTATGGTTGGGGTCAGGAGTTTGGTGACAGAAATTGCGAGCGTGATAAATCTCGGCAGTAGTCAGACCAGGCGCTATACCTTCACATCACCATGGCCTTGACTTGTTGATCAAAGATCGGGCTGGACTGTCCCCCCGAAACGCACGTCAGTCTTGGCTCATCAAGCCCCTATTACATTGACCTCATCGCTTGCCTCGCTGGCAATTATATCATACATGCATACATGACAACACACCATGCGTCTACACCCACATGCCCCCTTCTTTGCTCACCACTCACCCCAAAACGGCATTAATAATCTACAATTTAAGCTATGCTACCCTCATCCAAACCGATGCCAAAACCATACATGCATCCGGCCCCGTTCACTCCCATTCACCCCCGCCAAAGCCGCCTACACAACGTGGACATAACTCGCAGGCACGCTGCCCGTAACGCCAGCCTTCTCAACCTCCACCCACCCATCCCCAGGATCCTCCTTGACGAGCACGAACCGCTCCCCCTCCACCATGGAGTGCTCGTCCGCGCTCTGCGCCGCGTACTCGTACAGCGCCTCGACGTACTTCAGCTTCTTGGCACCCCGGCGCGGCGCCACCGCCGGCCCCTTCTTCTTGCCGCCCGGCCCTGTCGACGACGTCGTCGACGTCGAGTACGTCGACTCGGGCCGCGTGGCCGTCGGGACAGACGGCGCTGCCAGCTCGACATACGACGCGGGGACGATGCCTTCCTTGTAGCCGGCCCGCACTTTGACCCAGCCGGAGCCATCTGCGTCTTGTCAATAAACTCGTGCACACAAACATGAAGAAAAAAGCGAGCAAGTGTGTGTCTTTTCAACGTACCGTCTGCTTCTAAAAGAGTCACGTCCCTGCCTTCGGCCACCGACAGCTCCCCGTCACCACTGGCTTCAAAGCTATACAGCATCTTTCCCTTCCTCTCCTCCTTGTGTCCGTTGCCATTGACCCCGCTTCCTGGTAGTTCGCTAACATACGCAGCTGGGGGCGGAGCGGCCATTCTCTTCCGCGTTCCCGTGGCGGCCGTGGCCGAGGTGGTGGTGCTGATGATGCTGCCGCCTGTAGGATTCGGCGATATGCTCGGGCGCGCTGCGAGAGGCGGCTCACTGGCATCCAGTTCAGCGGGTGCGATTTGCCCGGATACCGATCTCTTGGCCGAATGTGAGCTCAGCGAGTTCATCGTGTTTGACCTGGTCAAGTCGGGCAGATCCGCGACGTGTGAAGGCGCCGCGGGATCCCGCGCCACAAGACGATTGGCGGCTTCCTGGCGCTCAGCCTTGAGCTTTTTGCGCTCGTCCTTGTTCTGCTCGCCGGGGCAGTCCGCGGGCACCTTCATCTCGCATTTGCTGTGGCAGGTGTAGCCGCAGTCTCGGCAGTCGAAGCCCTTGGCGCTCAGGCCCCAGATGCGCTCGCCGCAGAGATCGCAGTTGGTCGGCATCTTGAATGTCTGCCCTTTGAAGTTGTGGTTCTTTGCTCCGAGGGTGACGTCTCCCACAACGGCGGTAATGGTGCCGGTTTCGACCTCGGCCGTGAGTCGTTGTCGGTCCGCCGCGTGAAGGTCTTCTTGCATGGCGAAGAGTGAGCGCGCCACTTCCACCTCGTCCTTGTTCTCGGTCCCGTCTCGCACCCGCTGCTTGAGCTTCTTGACCGATTCCACCTCGCGCCGTTTCTTGTCCACCTCCCGTCGAAGCTCGCCCAGCTGCGATTTGGATTTGCTCAGCACGTTCCGCAGATAAATCTTGGCCGTCTCGTCCACCACCATGGTCGCATCGTCGTGCCACACGGGGCTGGGTTCAAACTCCCTGTCCGCGGGCTCCTGGAAGGACCCCACGTTGTGTCGCATGTACATTATCGAGTCCAGGTGCGGCAAATTTCGGGTAACCTCCTGTCCCAAGTGGTCCATCATGCTAGAGCTATCTCGCAGCATTGTGCCCTCCAATCTAGTAGCGACTCCCCACAGCCCATTCAGCTTTAGCGTTCGGAATTCGTTGAGATCCTGTATACTGTCCATGACCTCGGGGACATATTCGTGGTAGTACTTTTCCTTGTGCTTATTGGTGACGTTGATGGCAATGAGATAGCTGTTTTTGGCATTGTTCATTTCGTAGATTTGCTGTTGGTAGGCGCTCTGGGCCTTGGCCTTGTCGTAGTGCGACTCTGATTTTTTGCGCCGAGTCTCGACTTCTTGACAGACGGCGTCGTATTTGCCCTTGACCTTGCGCAGGTCGCCGTAGGATGCGTCGCGCTCGGCGGCAAGCTTGTCGGCGTATTCAATGTGTCGCTTGCGCAGCTCTTCGAAACGGCCGGCGTAGTATTTGAGGGGTTCGGCAACTTGTGAGACGAGGAGGTTGCCATACTTGTCGTGCTCGGCAGCTCGGGATTCGAGGGTTGTGAGTTGAGTCGACCAGGTGGTGAGCGAAGCACTGGACAGGCGTTAGATGGATGTTGCGGCTCATTCGCAAAGGGCAACCTCGCGGGAGCGTCGTCATACCTCTCGAGCGACCCAGGCGTCAATGCAGGCGTATCACCTACGCTCAGCTGCGACGACTTCTTATTCTTCTTTTCAAAGTACTTCTTGGCCAAGGCGCTCAGCTTGGCGCTGTACTCCTTCTCGATAAGAGAGCGCTCGCGGTAAAACTGCTGGATATCCTCCAGCCAGGCAATGCCGTGGCCGACCCAGGCGCTCGCCGGCTTGAACCCATCCTGAGAATCAGTTAGCATGCGGTCTGGCAGCAGTGTGGCGGGAGGAGGCAGGCGGTCCGCGGTGCTGGCGACGGGGTTGGGCGTCAGCAAACATGCAACACGCAATCGTGCAACATTCGACTCGCCTTCAGTACGGCGCCGAAGGTCTCCACCTCGGCCATGACGGAACGAAGAGTGCTGCAATCATACACTGCTCAGCCGGCCTATCCATTCAGGGGTAAGAGGCCGTCGTGTGTGTTTGGCAAGTCGATATTGGTCGATTCCAGGTTCGGGCGGGCTGGAAGGGGGGGTTATGTCTGGTTTGTTGGAGGCGAGCGGGATGGATGCGCGAATGAGCCGCAGTGGTGGAGTCCAAGTGTCGTCCGAGTTCAACGAAACTAGAAGCCGGGGTTGCGGCTGCGGTTCCATACTTTAATTTGTGGCTGCACAAGCTGCCCAGGTACTTGGGCATGGCATGGAGAGGCGCAGCCGACGTCACCAGACAATTTCCTTTGTGCAACCGGGCAAATGCAACATTGAAACCGTAGCCGAGCCGAAGCTTGTTACCCGCACGAGCGTTGGTTTAAAAAAAAAAAAGCCGTGACAGACAAGGATCCCTGGTTACGTCACTCCTAGCCTGATCATGTTCCGCCATCCACATCTGTCATCACGATGACCTACCCTGAAGCAACCGAAACTGTGTAAATCGGCCTCAATTTTCAAACCCTCATTCTTAGGGCCATTCGGCTTATGAAATCATACAGCTCTTTATTTACAGCATGACAAAACATGGCAACTCTGCGCACTCGGGCCCCGAAATGCACTCCCTTGGTGTTGTATTGCTTCAAACCCTGAATACGTCACCATGCCAGGAACATCGATAACCCCTCACCAGAACCGCGTCATCCAAACACCTCAAACACGATACGGCGGCAATCAACTCCTTGCCAGCTTAACATGGTGCGTCTCGACCCAGCACGACACCCCGGCGACCGAGTCCCATCTCATCGGCTCAATAGGCATGAGCTCCCTGTCGTCCGGGGCCATCTCGCCCGACTCGCCCGTTAATTGCATCCCAGCTTCCTTGCCCAAGAATATACATTCCGTATTAGCGTCGGTGAGTCTCGCATAGACGCCGACGACGGTGACTGTTGTGTCGTCCCGGTGGATGACAAGGTGGACTGGTGGACGGTCCGGCGGCATGCTGAGCGTTGATTCTTCAATGGGGCGGGACATGGGACTGGAGTTGCATTTCTTTGCTCAGGCGTAACTTGAAGATGGGGCTTCCTTTATTGTTTTCACCTGTTGAACTTGCCGGAGAGAGATGGGAGGCAATGGATACAACTACCCGGTGGTGTTTTGCGCTTACGCCATTATGACCCGTACATTGGGCAAGGCCAACAACACATTGCCTCGTTAGCCTCGCATGCAACTCTGCAACCGCAAACCGCAAGTAGCTACAGAGTAACATGGTGTATTTCTGCAATCTGCATGCCCGACAGCCATCTCCCATACAACTCGACGGATCTCGCAGCACGAAATCCTATGCCAGAGCTACCCCACACAACCCTGCGCCCTGCAACCTCCCATTGAACACCCCACACCAAAGGGCGCGCTCCTAATCCTCCAATCCCGACATGCGTCCCGTCCATGCATATAAACACCACCTCCAGTCAACCCCCTCTCCATCTCCATTCCAACAATGGCCTTCCGCCTCTCACGTCCCCTTGGAACCATTCTCCGCCCGCAGTTCTCGTCGCCCATTCGCACAATGTCCTCGTCCGCCCCCAAAGTCCGCGAATTCCTCGTCATCCTGCCCGATAAGCCGGGCGTTAAAGAGAAGCGCCTCGAGGTGAGACCGTAGGTTTCCCCGGCGCCATTTTTTTTTTAAAAAAAATCTTAAAGGAACCAGGAACTGACTCCCTCAGAACACATTTCAAAAACATGACTCCCCATGTCGAGTCTGGCGATTGGAAAATGGGCGGTGCGCACCTCTTTCCCAAGACACCCCAACTACCCATGCACATGCTTATATAGCACAGGCGCCCTCTTAAACGAGGTTCCGGCAGATGACAACGCCGCCAACTTTGACTTCTTCGGGAGCACCGTCGTGTGCAAGGGGGAGAGCAAGGAGGCCGTCCTGGAGCAACTGAAGAAGGACGTCTACGCCACCTCTGGAGTGTGGGATGTCGAAAAGGTACCATGGGCCGCCACACCTTGCGCAACGGTGCTCGCTGCTAACCGATGCAGATCCAAATCTACCCCTTCATCTGCGCATTCAGAAACCCATAAGCGCGTAGTAGAAACATGTAGACATGAAAAGAATAAAACGCTGGTATCAATTCATAAAGTACCCTAGCCTAACCGCTTCCTAACAGTGTTGCCGCCCGGTCTTGCTTTCTGCAGCGCCAGCACAGCTGACACCGCCCCATTGCTGGAAATACAAAAGCCAGAATATCTTAACCAAACAAAAACTCCAGACGGGCGTCGGCTATTCCCAGGGTTGGTTGAGGCCAAAGAGAGGAGGCAAGAGCTCAAAATACCAAAAAGCCGACCCCGCCTACCTAGACTTATGCAAAGCTGTTCCTCGATGATTTTCTTCCAAGGCGTGTAAAAATATAATTTTTTTTTTGAATTATGGAAATTTGAGCATTCGACAGATCTTGTACAATGAGGCCGGGGTGTAGTGTACCAGTCGGTGTGTTAATCATCGCTGTTGGTGCCCTCTTCGGCTGCTACCCTCAATTCGTAGTTCAGCTCGAAGCATTCTGCCAGGAGCCCACTGACACTGCCTTGACCCTCGGGGATGTCTCCGTTCACAATAAACTTGCCATCTACTCGCATGTTGTCCAGTGAGTTGAGCTGAATGCCTGTTAGTGCAAAGTGCTCATGGGGCGGATTGAACAGGACGGGGATGATGCTACCTTCATGCTGTATGGGTAGAGCTCTCGTACAGATGTGACGCCGCCATTCTTCTTCACTTCGACCAGGCATCGTTTCAGAGTCTGTAGTTGGTTGTAGATGGGGAGCAGGGCCTCTGATACCGGCTCCGAGGCAATCATGAACGAATAAATGTACGCATAGCTTCGTCGAATCAAGTACAGCATTGTTCGCTGTGTCCAAAGATCCGCCGGCCGGCCCTTGTCGTCATAAAAGTTGCCATTCTGCCTGTTTTCGTCAATCTTGTCCAGTTGCCGCTGGAAGTCGTACAAGTCGGTTTCGCGGAGCGACCAAGCTTGGGTCAAGGAAAGTTTTTCCAAGTCGTTTCGAATTCCCACCAGGACGTCATATGTTGGGCGCCATGATTCATGTACATTTCCCTTTCTGTAAAGACGCCGTTAGCCTCCATGTGACATGCACCAAGTGAAGATTGTGGTGTCCCAAGCCTTACCTCTCCAGAACTATACCCGACCACTGGACACATCTCTCGTATAGTTCGCTAATTTCTGCTTCACCTGGAGGTACGGTGCCGTCCTCTGCGACAAACTTGCCGTCCTTTCGCTTGCTGCCAACATCCAAGAGCTGATTCCGTAGCTTTTGCACCTCACTAGTCGAAAACTGGTCATGGGTTAGACTCGCCGAGCCTGGTCAATTGCACTCGTTCCGCACTCACCTTTGACTTTGTATTTGCGAATGAAATTTGTCGCAAAATAGAAATCAACTTCTCATGTGTTACAAGCAGTGGGCTGCCGATGCTTTCCAGCCGCTTCCGTAGATTGTCCAGCATGCTCTGGCACAGCGATACTCGCTTTGAGAGCAGGGTTAAAAGATATGGCGAGTGCTTCGCCTGGGATTCCTCCGCTTTTTGCGCCTGGCTGATGGCACATGCCGTTTCTTCCAGTGTAGATTTAATGCTTTCCAAATCTTTAGCAGAGTAAAGAGCGGCCTCGGTGAGATGGTCGAGAAGTCGTTTGATGGTCGACGTCAGAGAGTACGCGGCGGGGGCCTCGTTATTTCGGCCGATGGTGAGGTAGAATAGGGAAAGTAACTGGAAGCAACTCTCTAGGACCTTGTCCACTGTTTGCGACGATTAGTGAGCGATCTTGACGGACAGTATGAAGCATGAGTAGTGGGGGCGCCTACGTCGGTTTTCTTCGTGTTTGCCGATCTCAGCACGAACAGCGTTGAGCTCCTTGACCTGCTCAATGGTCTGGTCATAGAGAGGAATTACATCTTGACTGCGAATATATGTAGTTCGGTCCTGCTTCAGAAGCAACAGCTGGTCTCGAATGACGGAGAGGCGAGCAAGAATAGCTTGTTCGCGGGAGTCCCGCGGTGCTGGTACCGCCGGTGTATCCATCGTTGTATAGTTGAAGGACGAGTGGCGTAGTTGTCGCACGGGCTCTCGCGATGACGTCCGGCAAGGAAGTGGGAGCGAGTCAACAGATGAAAGGAAAGCTACGGCACCAGGTATTATTCAGCCCCGGAGAGGTGTGTTGTGCAATCCAAGTTCCTGGAGTTCCGAGGAGATGAGCAGTCTAGTTCGATCACTGGTTGCTTGGCTGGGGTGAGTGGCGCCGCGCGGGGAGCTTATTCAATGGAGGGGAAGACGATGGGAGATAATTGAGCCACCGCCCTGGGTCAAGGGCATGGAACAATGTTGGCAAGTACTAAGTCAAATTGGACATGAGGAGAGAGCATCTGCTTTCAGCAGTGTATGGATTTTTTTTTTTTTTCGTACCTGACTCGACAGCTGCAGGCACGATACAGGGTTGTAATTGGAAGCAGAATGTCGCCGCTATGCTGGACGATCAACGATGCAGTCAGTACCGAACTACTGCGGCGCCGGTGACGGTATCAATGACTCCATGTCTGGGACTCTGGATTAGACACGGACTCCATCCGTCCATTGGCCTGGCATACCTGTGAGCTGGAATCTGGAGCCAGTGATGCCATGGTAAGTCACCAGGCCGTTTGGTGGCGAATCAACAGAGGCAGCATCGCCTCGTTGCGGGGCTTGGGCTTGTAAAGTTGCCTGGGCACTTCTGTAATGCGTGTCCCTGGCTGGTCAACTGGCAAATCGTACTTATGATTAGCTCATCGATGCTTTGAGGTGGGGTTCCAAGGGCCAAGTCAAGGTGTCGAGTTATTTGCCTTGCCTGCCTTTGCTTCCCACTGCATTCGTGTGGTATTGACGGAATCGTCTCCCCCAGCCGGCCTCGGTAAGCACAAGGTCTGGTAATGTGCGACAAAGTCTTGGGACTGTATCAAAAGTGTGGAATCGGGACAATAATAGCAAAGGGGCAGGGGCAGTTGTACGTTAGATGTTGGTGTCAGAAGTTTCTGCTTGGTTCATTGGTTGAACAGACCATTCAGGGATAAAATAGCCGTGTTACATGGACGGTACTCGTCATCATCATCAAGCTGCGCTGCTTCAAGTGTACCGCCGTGGCTTTTGCTACCCCGAGTCGACGTATCTCGCAATGACCGTGAGCATAATTCAATATTTGCAAAAGTCGCCCGTTTTACAGAAGGCTTCTATTCCTGCCCCAGTAACAATGGCACGTGCTGCGCACTCCAGCTTTCAACACCACCGCTTGACCATGTCCAATACTCCGTGTACATCGTCAGCCTTGCAGACACTTGACGTCGTTTGCATTCACCTCCCAGAGTCTGCGCGGCCCTAACCAAAAGGCGGGGGCTTGGAACGATGGACGAATTTATGATTGGCCAGGAAAGCCAACCAATCACCTTCTTCCCCCACGATCAAACGCACACCACTCGGCGCTCGGAAAAACACAAAAGCCCCACCGAGTTTAGGTCTTGAAGCCCTCCAGACGAATTTTCGAACCTGGTCAATTTTCTGTGGTTCAGCCCGCTTTGGTGATAATTGCACTACATCCACCACGAACCTCGCCGCAGACTTGTCGTTCATCCCACCAACTACGACAAACTACACACAATGTCTACTGCTGAGCTCGCCTCCTCCTACGCGGCCCTGATCCTCGCCGACGATGGCGTTGAGATCTCCGTAAGTTTCCCACTCTACGCGCCGCCGTGCCACCAAACAGAATGACCACATGTGCGAAATTGCCGGCGCAGTCTGCGATTCGATCGAGGCAAGGGAATAGGAGACAAGACTGCAGAAAAAAACAAAAGGAAGCGTGATTGGAATCATCTGCGCCGGCGACCCCAAAAAAACGCACTGGATATGCCCGTTCTTGGTGGTTCTTTCGCCAGAATACACTGCTGACTTCGCATGCAACAGGCCGACAAGCTCCAGGCCCTGATCAAGGCTGCTGGCGTCGAAGGCGTCGAGCCCATCTGGACCTCCATCTTCGCCAAGGTACGACGACGCGAAATACCCCCTCCAGCTGCGAGCAAACACACCCTTCGACATGGACCTGTCATCCGCTAACGAGGTTTGAACACAGGCTCTGGAGGGCAAGGACGTCAAGGACCTGCTCGTGAACGTTGGCTCTGGCGGCGGCGCTGCCGCCCCCGCTGCCGGTGGTGCTGCTGCCGCCGGCGGTGACGCCGCTGCCCCCGCTGAGGAGGAGAAGGTCGAGGGTGCGTACAGACCGCCATGAGCAGGAATATTGGAGCCTCCCCCCCAATTGTTCCGCTCACATACATGAATGGCTGAAAAAAAGAAAACAAGGGGATATGCTAACATTCTCACCACAGAGAAGGAAGAGTCCGACGAGGACATGGGTTTCGGTCTCTTCGACTAAACGCACCAATACTCACGACTGTTTTCTTGCTTCTTTGTACTTCAACTGCATGGCTTCGGGGTCTTCACAAATCACATCGATCATACAGGATGGAGAAAAGGCGCGCATCACAAAAAAAGGAAAGAAAAGAGGGATACAAGGGAAATGGTTTTTTTTGTGTTCCCCCCCTCCCCTTCTTTGCGTTGGCACCTGGGGTGTGAGGTAGCTTCGTTCATATAACGGAAATTAATATGATTGAATGTCCCTCGTACAAGTACCAAGAAGATTTGGAGTTTACGTGACGGGAGGGGTTCATGGTCAAATAGAGGTTTCTGGGAACGGATTTTTTTCAAGGCTTCTTTTGAATAGTGACTGTGACACTTGCAAATCCTGCCATGAACCACAGTGGACGGTGGACGCGATACGCGCCGATTGCGACTCAGCTGGTCACAATCATTGCTGCCTCTACTACAAGCAAACCTGGTACACCAGAATCACCGCAACACCCTGTGCCCCCAAACCACAACCACACCGGTAATGCCATGAAACGCCTCATCATAACTCATCAGCTGTTCAACCGGGCTTAAATCCCCTCGCCTCCCTTACTGCACAATCAGCACCGAGGATGGCACAAGCCCAGCCTCCTTCAATGTCTTGGACATGTCCAAATCTCCCGTGAACGTCTGCTTGGGAAAAGTAGTAGAGAAGCTCGTGACGGCCAGTCCCGTCTCCCCCTGCACCAACTGAGCCAACTCGAACAGCGTCGTCTCGGCCGGCAGGGTCTTCATCAGATTCCCACTGGGGGTTTGCAATCTCAGCCTGGCCGTGTTGTGGTCGGCCTTTGGCTTTGGCGGCGCTGCGGCCGCAGGTGCGGGAGCATTGGCAGGAGCCTCGGGAGCTCTTCCCTCTCTCGCGGCCTTGGCCTCTTCAGCTTTGCGGCGTCTCTCAGCCTTGTCGGCTTCAATCTTGGCCTTGATGCGCTTCTTGGCTTCAATGTCGTCTTGCTTTTCTTGGCGCTTGCGGGCTGCCTCTTTGATCTGTTCCTTGCGGGCTATCTCCTCTTTAAGATCCTGGCTTTCTTTGGTAGACTTTTGTCGAATTTTCTGAGGCTTTGTGAGCAAAATGAATGTTTTTGGCTGGGCAACGACAGGTGAATTGACAAACCTCATTGCGCTTGGCGTCTTCTTTATCCTGAACGGATTGAGCTGCCCGTTTAGATTTGAGGCGTTCGCGGAGCTCCTCGAGCTTAGCCTTCTTCTCGTCCTCTGTCAAAGGGGCGATTTCCTCGGTTGACTCTGAAAAGTCGGTATGGTCTCTATACATCAAACCATGTCACATCAGTACCCGTCGGTTCTGGATGGGAGAAAAAAAAAGTGAGATGATCAAGGTCAACGTACGTCTTGGTGGCGTGAAATGTGGCTAAATCGTGATTTCGGAACTTCTTGCCGCACTCATTGCAAATGAGCGAGCGAGCTTGGCCCGTCTCCAGCTCGGCGATTTTGGCCTTGGTTTCGGCATCCTCCTCATCGTCCTCGCCCTCTTTACTGGCCTCCTCGGCCTGGATTTCGTCCAGAGACTTGTCCTGGTTATCCTCTAGCCATTGCAGAGCTCCCTGAACTGTGCAAGGTTAGTTACCAAATCGACTGTGAAGCAAGCAGGCTAGACGTACGGCCACCGCTCTTTTTGATTGCAATTTCAGCCCGGGTCTTGTCAAAGCCCATCTCAGTGAGGGCCTCTAGGTCTGACGGCATATCTGCGAAGGTGGATGTATATTGTTGGTGGGATTGGCGGTGATGATATCGACTGAGAGGTTGGAGGGGTAAGCTGTTGTGACGGTCAACTGGTTGTGAGTGACGCCAGGCGACTGGAGTCTGTAAGTCGGCGTCTTAGTGGGGTCAGGCCATGTGTTTGGAGCCGCAAAGCAGGAATGAATCGGCGGCGCCTTTTCGACGACCGAGGAGGGACTTGAGCCAAAGAGTCGACTGTTTCTTCCGACAACCTTGGTGTATGGCCCTTGTGACTTGTAAACAAACTATCTTGGGTAAACGGTGGTTACATGGCACGTCATTCAATAGCTGAGTGGCCAGTTGGCGGCTGGAGACAGCTAATAGTCAGGCGTTAACTGCTACCTGCCCAAGTACCAAGTACATCATTTGATAAGTACTTTAAGTAACGCTTGAGGGTAGCGGCAGCCATTTTGGCGAGAAGCAGTCAGTCGGCTACCGTCTTTCCACGAGGACCAGCTGTCTTGAGTACAATATGTAGAGGTGGAAATGGCGAGAATTCAAAATGCAAAAACGCAAAATCCCAGTTTCGCAATCCACAAATTTGTGACCTCTGCACAGTATTGCGGACCGCAAATGGATGCATGTGCTGTACGCATGTACGCATGACCTTGATGTTCCGTTATCGTGGCCATGCAGAGCAGACCAAATGCAAGCCTGAAATCCACCCGAGGGCAATACTCAGGCATACGATATGGATGGAGATGGGCCAAAGACAAACGTGTTCTGCCTACACTGGCTTAACCATATTCTGCTGACTTATTTTGCTTGGTGTTTCGGCAATGGTCCATCCATGTTGGCAGATGTTCCGAGGCCCCTTTCGAGACTCTGGAGGTTCTTGTAGCCGGACTCCACGGACGAGTCGAGTGCGCTGGCGCTAAAGATGCCAGTAGAAGCAGACTGGACAATCGTTACATGTACAGGGACTCGAGGCATGTCATCAAGGCCGTCTGATGGCTGTGGGCATCCGTCAATGCTGGTGCCAAGTTCCAACATGGTCCGAGGCTCACAAGCAAAAGCCTCTCTGGGCTGCTGCCATATCGTCGTCATTGCCGTCACGCCTTGCCCCCTTTCAGTCCAACCAGACATTTGAAACAACAGTTGAGCGCAGCCCTACCTGACTTCTTCACCTCTTTCAGCTCAGGCCATCCATCGCCACCACGCCTCGCTGCCTGTGCCCTGTCCACCTAGCAACCCAGCACCAAGGGTGCAATTCCCCAACGTCTCACCCACACCCGGCCCGACTTTCTGCGACTTGAACTCTCGCTTCCCTCTTCCATTGCGCCTGCGCTTCCATTATTGATACTCAAGTTGGTTTGCACGAGGCCCTGCCCCCCTCCCAGTTGCCCTGGGCCAGAAGCTCTCCACACCAACTTCCAGCTCCAATATTACTAGTCCAATCCAATTTGGACCGTGTCCTCAACTCCGGGTGCATTGCAGCTCGCTCTCCCCGCCACGCCTTCCCACGCTATCGACGCAAACTTATATACCCGACTCCGATCGTATCGACATCCCGAGAGTAGTCCATTGCGAGAGCATTGCCCATCATGACGGTCGATATTCTCCCCCTCGAGCTGAATTTTGCTCGTACGTGAAGCATTCCACCCCCCTCAGCCTCTCCGCCACCGTTATCATCATCATCATCATCATCATTAACTCGGTTTCCGTGTCGTTCTAGGCCCCTTTACCGTCGAGGTCTCGCGGACTCTTACCATACGAAATACGAGCACCTCGCCTCTGGCTTTCAAAGTACGCTTTCCAGTGCGGCGCATTGCGCCGTAACATTGTGACAGATGGTGACGATATTGACCCTGCATCTAGGTCAAAACCACCGCCCCTAAACAGTACTGCGTTCGACCCAATGCCGGCCGTATCGAGCCCGGAAATGCCTTCGACGTTACAGGTACGGCGGAACGTTCTTCATCTATGCAAGCCCCAATATCAACCCAGCGGGCAGTGCAACTGACACCACATAAACAATAAGTGCTCCTCCAGGCCATGAAGCAGGACCCGCCCCTAGATGCCAAATGTCGCGATAAATTTCTCGTTCAGTGCGCGCCAATCCCCTCCGACAAGGACTTTTCCACCATTGCATCTGTCCTAGAGTCCGCAGACAAGGCCACACTCGCCGAACGCAAGATTCGTGTCAACTGGCTTGCCGCCAACAGCGAAGATGCTCAGGGACTTGCTGCACCTGCTGTCTCGACTCCCAGCAAGCCTTCAGCCGTGAATGGGGTGCGTCTACTCACACACGCCCTCGGCGTTTTGCACCTGCGAATGCTAGCTAACTGTGCGTATCTCAGGCGACTGAAACTCCTGATGCTCCTCGGACATTCTCCTCGCCCGGCGGCAACGCCAACTCAACACCCCTCTCCGCTCCACCTCCATATGCCTCCGACGATGCTGCCGAAGAGGCCGACGACAAGCCCGAGCGCCCCAAGTCTGCTGTATCGCACGCCGCCACGTCTGTTTCCGAGGCGGCGCAAGTGTCGTACGAGGAGCTTAAGAGCAAACTTGCCCAGGCAGAGGCGCAGCTACTGAATCTGAAGGACAGCGGTCTTCGTCAGCGAAGCGTAAAGAGCGCATCCAGCGAAGAGAAGAGGCCCGCTGCAAACACTGCACAGGTGGTTAAGCAGCAACCTGACGGTGTTCCCGTGCAGATTGTTGCCCTGCTGTGTCTGCTGAGTTTCCTCCTGGCCTACTTTTTCTTCTAGTTGCAAGGTCGAGAGACAAATCTCCAAGACATGGATGCAGACACGGCTATAAAGACCCCTATTCCTGCAAAATTACGTCTCAGCTTGGAGTTGCACAAACCATGGGCTTCGATTGTTTTCAGACGAACCCCGTAAGGGCTATATAATGACTTTACTTGAACATAAGAATTTGGCATCGGAGTGCACGATTTATTAAGCAGCATGCGGAAGGGCAAGTGCACCGGAAAACATGTCTGCAAAAAACCAGCGCCGGTTCAGAAGCGGTTGCCGGAGATGGCGGGTGTAGGCTGGGATGATTGGGGGCAAGACCGCATTTTGATGTCGAATAGCACCTTTGGCATTGTGCCGTACCTTGTACTAGCTACTGCTTGACGCGTATAATGGATTCTCTTTTGTTTATCGACTTGCAGTAAAAGTGTACTTGGGACAAGTAGGCTCGAAAGGCGTACCAGATGCTGCAACTTCCACTTGCTTACATCTGGCATTGCCAGCGTTTTCACTTTGTACATGGGCTTCAAAAGGAGCATGTAGGATATTTGCAAATATATTCTGTTTCTATCATGCAGGCTCTATGCGGCATTCTCATTAAAATAGTAAATTTAAAAAAAAAAACATACGTCATAATCCCAACGCCTTTAATTGAATCGTGCCAGACGAGGATCCCACCCACGTTTTATGTCCATGGACCCCCATACCGTGGAGATTAGGCCTGCACCTCACTCTCCTTCCAGTTGACGGCGCCGCCGACCAGGCGGCCGCCTTCCTTGCGCTTGACGCGGCAGTTGAGGCCGACGTTCTCGTCCCAGATGAACCTCCAGATGGCGTAGACCCAGCTCTCGTGGCGGGGCAGCGGCTCGTAGAACTCCTTGGCCGTCTCGTAGACGGCGGGCAGCCTGGTCCACGGGATGGCGGGGAAGTCGTGGTGCTCGTTGTGCAGGCCGACGTTGTAGGTGAACCAGTTGAGGGGCCCGTAGTAGGAGAAGGTCTCGGGCACGGGGACCATGTTGCCGGGGTCCCGTTGCGTGGGGGTGACGGTTTCGTAGACGTAGTGCTCGGCGATGAAGTGGCCGGCCACGGGGTGGAGGCTGCCTGCGAGGAAGGAGGAGAGCAGGAGGTACAGCAGGGCGTTGGGGGACGCGTAGCGCAGCAGGAGGGCGTCGAAGGCGAGCTGGACGGCGAGGTTGACGCAGTGCACCCACGTGAAGGGGATGCGGTAGACGGCCATGGGCCGCAGGGCGTAGAAGAAGATCTGGAAGGTGCAGAAGAAGGCCTTGCCGAGGATGGAGTCGAGGAAGAAGGCTTCGAGGGCGGTGGGGAGGTCGGTGTCGAGGCCGTCTACGCCGAGGGATTTGTGGTGCGTTAGGTGGTATGGCTGGTGAATTGTTAGTGCTTCTTTTTTTCTTTCTTCCAAATGGTTTATATTCGCTGGAGGCGGGGAGGGTTGAAACGAACCCGGAATGCGGCGCTGTAGGGAATTCCGATGGGCAAGTTGGCGACGATGGCGAACAGTCTGTTGGCCATTGCGCTCTTGAAGGCTAGGTTATGCGAGATCTCGTGGATGGCCAGGAACAGGTTCTGGTTTGCGGTGGCGCCAAAGACGTAGGCGACTGCCCAGAACTTCCAGGACCAAAAGAACGTCGACTGGAGCAGGTAGGCGAGGACAATTTGGAGGGTGACGACGCCGAGGACGACATATTTGGTCAGAGGCTCAGGGCCACATAGTTTTGTAATCTGGGGGTTCATTTTCAGTAACAGTCCCTTCTTTTTTTTTTTTTTTTTTTTAAGGCTAACGGGGGGTCGGCCAAACCTCTGGATGAGCCTTGATGATGGCCAGTCGACGAGTCCGATGCGGCTCCTCGGTATAGGTCCAGAAGAAGTCATGCTTGGGATTGGCGTCTTGTTTGGCCGGGGGAGGGGATTTGTTTTTGGGCGTCTTAGTGACGGTGGCAGAGCCGTTGGATGGCATGGTGGGCAATTGAGCGGTGGTTATGCGATGGGGTGGTTATACTCGGTGTTTTGCAGGTATAAAGGAGTAGTTGTATTGTGTTGAGTGAGGGTTGCGTACGTCGTGGTGTCCGGGGATCGGGAAAGCAACGGGGTTCGAGGCGGCGGCGCAGCATCAATCTAGGCCAAAGGAGAGGATTCGTATTCGTAAATGGAGGTTGGAGGTTGGAGGTTGAAAGAGGACGAGGATTGGCTGATTTCTCGGTTTTGGGATTTCCAAGTCCGAGGACAAGGTGCGCGAGGTGGTGTGGTTTTTGGACGACGAGAGCCAGGGCGGTGTCTGTTCCTGGGACGAAGAGGAACCGTTGACGGGTGGGGCTTGGATGTATCTGTACTTGTGGGAGACAAGCCCCTTCCAATCTCTGCACTCCAATTTCCACCCAATGGGGCATGCCCACGGTAGAGGTACCTGGACAATTGAAGCTTCGAAAAGTGTTGAAGCGTTCAGCGGGGAAGGCTGAAGTAGCTCCAGGGGAACAAATCATGCATGTACGGAGGCGGCGTCGATTGGCTTTTCTAGCTGACCTTTCGTGACGGAATGTGCATACCACAGCTCACCTCTCAGATGACATCTCAGATGACATCCCAGATGGGCTAACAGATGCGGCACATTGTCTCCCATACAGAATCATCTTATTTGCCTGTGTACCAAGTACCTAGGTGTCGCATCAATCTATCCAATGAGGTCGTCTGCCGCCATCGCGTGGGCTGATCTGTTCCCTTTAATACCCGGGACCCGAGCCTGCAGCAGCATCACACGAGACAACATTGCCCGCGTTTTTCTTCCATGGATTTTGGATATATTCGTCCTTGTCGTAGTACCTGTACTCTTGGTGAAGCCAAATCTGCAGCGGCTTGACCTGTGTTATACTTGCTGTTGTGAAACTTTCGGTTTCATTCTTTGGGTGCCTGCGACTGAAGATCTACTATTGCCAGGGTCTTAAATGTAATAGTGCCAGCCAAGATGGTGCTCAGGGGTACAAGATGTATATGATCTGCGCATGAACTTTGATTTGTCCCTCCGAATGGAAAATGACACGCACGCTTCTGTTTCTGGACTTGCGCCCCGGTCTATCATCAACTTTAAAGTGTCCCAATACTCCTCAACCATCCCCTTAAATCATAGTCAAGACTCAAGACCAACTAGCTTCAAGTAGCAAAGTGAAGAGCCTTGAGAAAATAAAGTATGGGCACTTATTACTTATTAACGACATGATATTCAAGCCAGCTCCGGCTTGCAGGAGTTTCTAAAGCAAACTAGGCTAAAAATACCTAGCAACATCTTATCAAATAGCTTTATACACGCTACTTACCATGTTGCGAAACGAGCCTCCCCTCTGCTAATCGGCAGTACCTTTCTAGAACCCGCATCGTAGCCAAATATCTCCTTTGCCTTTTTGGCTATTCACGAGGGATGGTTAGTAGTGAGCACCGTCCAAGACACCCGATCATGTAAGACAGCTGCTTGGACCAGGATGATGATTCCACAATCGAGTGTTTACTTGCCGTGGAGCGGCAAGTCAATAACTATCTAGGTAGCTCATGATGAGTTTGCCAAGCCTCTCTCTCGTCTGTCAGTCTATCGTGACGGAGGACATGTAAACACCATCCCCACATGACGCGATCCGTCCCGACCAGCCTCAACCTCCGACTCGCACCCGTCGACCGCAAACCAACATGCCGCGCCCCACCAAGCTCATCATCGTCTGCTGCCACGGCATCTGGCTCGGCGGCCCCTCCAAAGGCCACAACGAAGCCGAATGGCTCCTCGCCGACTTCCAGCACGGCGAAACCCCCACCTTTATCGCGCACATCAAGGCCGGGCTCCGATGCCTCGCCTCCGACCGGGGCCACGCCGTCCTCGCATTCTCAGGGTCCTCGCCTCCTCCTACCCTCCCCTCACCTAAAGTGCTTTGCAGCAGCTAACGCCGTCATGCAGCGCGCCGACCCGCAGAGAAACGACCCTCTCCGAGGCCCAGTCGTACGCCAACCTGGCCATCCAAAACGCCTGCTTTGGCCTCCTTGACCCTCCCGTCACGGCCGCGGACATGATGCTCGAGGAGCGGGCCCTCGACTCCTACCACAACGTGCTGTTTAGCCTGTCGCTGTTTTATGCCCGGTTCCAACGCTGGCCGCGGCACGTCGTGGTGGTGAGCCACGCCTTCAAGAGGCCGAGGATGCTGGAGGGCCACTGCGCCGCCATTGGGTTTCCGCCGGACAGGGTGTCGTTTGTCGGCGTAGACCCGCCGTGTTTGGAGGGCAAGCCCGGCGTCGTGGCGGGCGTGGCCGAGGCCGAGGCGGACTGGGGGCGCGATCCGCACGGAAAGGGGCAGAGGCTGGCGGCCAAGAGGGCGAGGAGGAACGTCTGGGGAGCGTGGCAGGGCGTTTTCGAAGAGGGCACCGAGGACGCCGACAAGGGGGGGTTGCAGACCGTGGGGGAGGGGGCAAGCGAGGTCATCGTCGACGGGGAGAGGCCGTGGTGAATTTCACTGCATGATTATAGTCTGTATATAGTCCTGGGTGGAATCAAACCCCCGGCGTAATCTAGGCCCTGGTGGCGTGACGACAGCCGTACATGTCGAGCGTGTATATTCTAGTTGGAATAGGCGCCCCCCCTTTCTATCAAACGCCTCGTGAATCTCATCCAGCATCACGATTCACGACGCCGTCAAATCTTGGCCCTCGCGTCCCTCCTCGGCCCGTCCTCGACCGCACGCACCAGAAACGCAACCGCGTCCGTCACCATGTCGGCGCTGAACCGGTGTCCCACGCCGGCGTACACCCTGTCCTCGACCACGACCTCGCCGTCCCTGTACCACCCCTCGGCCGCGTCCTTCAACACCCTGAGGAACGGCCTCGAGCTCGCATACGGCACCAGCTCGTCGTCGCCCCCCGAACAAGCCAGCAGCTTCTTCCCCCTGATGCGCGCGTCGAAAATCTCCCGCAGCCGCGCCCGCTCCCCCTCCGACAGCGGCACCGACGGCACCGGCGCCTCGGCCCCAAACACAATGGCCTTGGGGTCGTTGCCCCGACACATGGCCACCAGATCGCGCGGAAAGTACCGACCGCCCAGCAGCGAGGCGCCCCCGGTATCCAGAGCCGAGCGTCTCGCCCGGGCCCCCATCAAATCTAACACCCGGTCAGCACGCCGAGTCTACAAATCAAACATTCAACCTACCCAGGTAGTCGGGACACCGGGCGACGGCGACGGCCGCGTCGATCCTGTCCTCCCCGAACCACGACCACCACGCGGCGTGGCCGCCCAGGCTCCAGCCCAGGCAGACGTGCGCGTCGACCTCTCTGCCCAGGTAGCCGGCCACGAGGTCCATCAGCGCGCTCACGTCGCCCGCGGCGCGCCCGACCACGCCCGCCATGTCGATGGCGTGCCGGTCGTTGCCCCCGTCCCAGGCGCGGTTGGCCGCCTCGCTGACCAGCCGCGTGCCGTGGTTGGGCATGTCGAACGACAGGGCCACCAGCCCGCGCGACTCGGACGCCGGCGAGAGGTGCCACGCGTGAAGGGTGCGGCGCGCGATGTCTTGCATCCGGGCTCGCGTCCGCGTCCGCGGGTGCAGCAGCCACAGGCAGGTGAGGGGGATGTTGGGCCCGGCGAGCTCCTCCTGGCCGTAGACGTCGACGAGGAGGCCGGCCATGGGGATCGTCGTCATGGACATGGGCGGCGCGGGGCCGAGGCCCTTGGTTGAGTACTCATCCATTGTGGTGGGCTTTTTGTATAGCGGCCCTCTTGATATGGTGTTTTATGTTTCTCTATTTTTTTTTGTGTGTTTTGATCGCGGACAAGACTGCGTGGTGAGTGATGGAAAGTGTCGAGTAAAGTTGGAGACTGTGACCAATCCGGCGGCACATCGATAGAGCCGAGCCGAAACAATTGTTTGCCGACGACGTACCAACTTGAGTAGCATGTGCAGCCTTCACAACTCCCACATCGAGTGCAATGGCTGACGGCCCTCGGGAACGCAGGGGCGCTGTGTAGCAAAAATCAGTCAAAGAATCAACCATGTCGTCAATTAATCCTGCCTGCCCGTAGCTAGGGTTGGTGACAAGCATGCCATCATAACGCCGGGGTTTCGCAAATACAACCTTGACAACTGGTCCCAAGAATCGCCCCAAACATTACACCGCTCACAATGCACCAAGTTGACAAAAGGAATAAATCATATCAATATCGCCATGCTCCAGACAAGAATCACCTGACTACCGTAACGCCTGCGGTTATGCCCGCCAATTTCCCAACGGCCTACCGAGCCCAAATCTTCCCCTTTTCCCATCACACTGCCTGTAGCTTCTTTCCCCTATTTTGTCTGTCTTTGTTCGTGTTGGTCCTTCCAAGTCGCACCGATAGGCGACATACGGGGCATGCTCTGTATTCGCCATGTCCGCTGCTTGCCCCAGGACGACTTCTCAAAATTATGTCCAAGGCAACGTCAGCTGGAGGGCTGTAATGGGCAGCATTGAATGCCATCTTGAAATCGAGATCCCCCACCTCCCCCGACACAGCATAGGAAATCTCCTCCCTGTTCATGGTGCTGGTGGCCTGCATTTAATCGACTTTCCAGTGCTCAGACTCTTCCGTACCAAGGTAGAGCTCCACGCCGTAAAGGACCATAGTCAAACCGACATTGATCCATCTCCACGTGCTGCCACCAACATCACCACCCCTGAGGGTCCAGCCATCGGGACCATCACTGGTTGAAAAGTGTTGCAGCAGCAAGCTCGTATACACCGACACCAGTATGGACGGCGAGAACCAGCTCAGGAACCCAAGAACCTTGTTGGCTGTTTCTGCATCCTCAAAATCCGGATCCTGCATAAGTGCACGTGCACCGAGATCCCGCACCGAGGGAATGATTCTCGTGGCGGAATAAAAGACAAAGAGTCGATATGTCAGGGAAATGATGACTGACGGCGTGATAGTCTGGAAAGCGGCGTACAAAAGGGCCAGAGAGGAGTGGATAGCCGACGGAAGCGAGCCTAGAATGTGTAGAAGGGTTGAATAGGATGCCATTATAACCGGCGGCAGTGGTGGAATCTCGGGTTGTGACGAAGCCTGGTCCTCGACTTCTTCAGACGGTAGGTAGTCGGTAAAGATTTGGTAGACACACAGTACCACGTAAGCAAACAGTAGAGAGCTCTCAATAGGATTACCTCGGCCGCTTCCGATGCCGTAGGCACAAAGGAACACCGCTGTAGTCATGGTTACACCGATAAGTGTTGCATCCAGGTTGCTAATTCGCGGAAACTGTGCAACTCGCCAAAGAAAGTATACGGCACTTGCGATGATGGTGCCGGAAAAGGCCAACAGAATGATCTGCGTCAATTAGCACAAGAGGCAAGTAAAAGTTGTGTTGGGAATGTGTCGCTCACCACCCAGGTGTCACTTCTGCCTCTGTTCACAAGCCAACGAGTAATTTGACCGGCTGCCTGAATCACGAGAAGCGTGCAAAAGCCCTCGAGGAGCTGGAACACGGGACCAGAATATCGAAGGACATTGTCCCAGCTACCCAGCATGACCGTCTCCAGCACGCCATTTTTGCCAAACATCCACTCAGTCCAACTTGCGCTCTTGGATTGGAAGATGCCGCCCAACGTCCTCTCGACCCAGTTTGTGCTTCCCGCATCGACGGCAAACTGACTCAAGGCCCAAATGAGAAGCGATGGGATGACAACCCACTGCGACAGTCGGAGGAGGTTGGAGATGGTCGAGCCGAGGCGTGACTTGCTCGGGGTCACAATGCGGATTGCGGAGTAGACGAGGTAATAGATGAAGAGAGACAGGCTATACGCCAGCCCACTATCACGGCCACCGACATCGAAGGCGACGGGTATTGACAGAACGATGGTGAAGAGGAAGATGGAGCTGAAAAATATGCTAAATAGCCACCACATCGGAGCGGCAGGGTGGCGGGCTCAAGCCGTGCCGGTCGAGTCGACGGGAGAAACAGTGATGATCGTTCGGAGTTGTGGGCGTTTCAGGTCGGACGACTCTTGGTCTTCTCGTCTCGCGGGCCCAGTCTCGAAACGAGCTTCTTGGGCGGGCGTTGGGGTCGCAAGGGCTCTGGGAGCTTTCACAAGCTCATGTACAAAATGTAGCTCAGCGTGTCGTGTGTCTGGCCAAAGCTGCACTCGTGCGATGTTCTGCGCAGGAACCGCCTGCGGGACAGATGCTGATCGACGTCTGTTCTTTGCAGCACACCAAGAGATGAGTCGCCGGGTCGTCGTATCGCCTTCTGGTCGAGCGCAAGCGCGTGGCTTTTTTTTTAATGATGGTGTGTTGATGCTGGCTAGGACGCGCTTGTGGTTGGACAGACAGGGTCTGTACAGAGTAGTCTAAGATGATTAAGGAAGCCTGCCAGCTGTTTTTCTCTGCAGTCGCCCACAATGTGCCGCTTCTGCGCAAGGTGTAAGGTGTCCACAATGGACCTAGGCTGGCACAAGCTCAGCTGGAATGGAAGCTTAGCTTATCGTCGCGTTATCTGCACGTGAAGGCTCGTGAAGTGCGATGACGCGGGCTGCTCGTCGGCCGACATGTGGTACAGTACATACGTTGATGGAACGCATTCAGGGCAATAGAATGATTGGCGTTCTGACACAGAGCTCGAGGGTTGTTTTCTAGATGCAAACTCGATATTCGAGGTCGAATATTCATGCCCTTGGCTACCAGCTAGCTCCGAACCCAAGCTCCGAGGCTTGCGTCAGGGCGTCCCAGCAGCAGCAGCGGCGTGGGCTTGGCGGGGCAGCAGTCGTGGCCGAAAGAGGCTTGTCGCACGAGATGCCAATGGCCGCCGCTTCTAAAAATCGATGCTCTCAAGTGAAGGATGAGAATATCACCCAAGACGTGCTGTACATATATACTCCGTAACACGAAATGCGGAGAGAAAGGACTCAGGGGAATCTAATGGGATTTGATGCATTGTACGAGGTGTCAAGCACCAAGTAACAAGTTGACTAGCCCGTGGTTGAGGCAAGAGGACTGGCCCATGCCATGTCGCTCCTTCCAGATTGGTCCAAAGGTCGCGTGTGCCCGACCAGACCGCTCCTGCCGGGACCGCTTCACCGCCTGCAACCAAGCCCACCGGCTGCGGAAGCGGCCTCCATCAATTTTCTCTCTTTTCCTGCCGTCGATGAACCAAGCAAGCCAATTGCTATATTACATATCTACTCCCTCATGCGCTATCCGAACTTATATCCTTTGCCGTCGCCTCCATACCATGTTATAGCCGCACGTGCTGTTGGGCAGCCGTCGCCCAATGCGTGGCTAATGGACGCCACGCATGGGGTCTACGCAGAAGATATTTGCTCCAATTTTGGAGACACACTGTCAGCCGTCATGGATAGGCGTACTCGCTCGAAGAGACACTGACAGGCTTGGAGGCCGCCCTCTCACTCCAATCTCGAATGCACCCGCGCTGTTCTTTCAAGTCTGCAATCCACTCCCTGCGACGTCATAAGACCTCGCCACGGTCAAAGCAATCAACCAGGATGACGGTTCAAAAACCTGCCAAGTCTGAGTGATGAACAAACGCAGGCTCTGTGCCTGGAATTGAACTCCAAGTCACTGTGCGTGCATTGTGACCTGTAAAATAGAACTGATAGACGCAACAGTTGGATTACATTCCATACTGCCAGCCTGGTAGGATGGGAGCTCGAAGCATACACACGACCGGCCAGTATACATACTGTTTTGATGAGGGGCGCCTCTTTTATAAATGCGACACAGCAGGTTCCTTGAACTGCCAAGGTATTCGAGTAACTACCCGCTTTGACACTCAATGATTGCGGCCCTACCGTGGGTTTCGTCCGAGTTTCGTCCCATTTTGTCAGGTTATGGACCATATGGTAGCCTTGGGGTTTGACATTTACACCGGACGTACTGCCTGCGCTTTAGACTACCTATTACATCCAGTTGACAACCGATTGCCCAACCAGGATGTGAAGCTGTCGAGCTGAACAGTGCTTATTATGTACGTCGGACTCTGTCGACAGGTCAAGCCAGTACGAACGACAAGCTGCGGCGCACCTGTCTGCTCGCAGCCAAGAACGCCATGCACGGTTCTTCCCGTTTTCTCGGCCAGGATCACCAGTGCACCACACATGGCAAACATTTGTCGTGGCTTCAATGTATCCTGATGTACGGAGTACAAGACGCATGTTTTCCATGACCAAGGGTCCACGTTTGTGTTGCATCGAGCTCTAGAACATACAATTGTTCACCACATGGCTCAATGTCGTATTTCCAATTCGAGGGACAAATAAGCTTAACGGGTCTCGCATTGTTTCAGCAGACGGATGGATCCACGAGCGGAGGATCGCACCGTCAGCTCAGTTGTCATGCTCGGGATTATTCATCTACAGCACCAGGAATTGCGTGATAGACGCTGCAATGGCGCCTTCGATTCGTCTTTTATGTGCAACTAGTATTGTTGGGGCATGCCAGCTAGAAGCGATAGCCCGAAACGGCTGGGTCGTCGCCCTTTGTTTTTTGTTATCAAATGTAGTACAATATTGTGCTACGCCATGACTGGTATGTAGCACGTCATGAGGGCAGAATGGGGCCAGGCCGCTTGCCCCGATTAAACCACTTTGCCATCATGAACATGACAAAACTGCATGTTGGGAGAGGCGACGGTCGGATGTGTGTGGCCGGGCATGTGGC